GCTACAGTTCTGGAAAGCAAGTGAAAGCAATTCCTTTCTGCTTGTAGTGTGCAGATTCACACTCTCTCCAGAAGCCTACCAATTGGTTCTTGGTCAGCTGGGTGTGTGTGTAGGAATTGTTTTCTCCAAGCCTAGGGCAAAGAAGTATAACTAGATGGGGAAACCACTTTTAAAGGTCAGGAAAATTAAGGGCAAAATGAACAGGAAGGAAGCAACTCTGCTGGGATGGAAGGATTGGGGCAACTTCAGGAGGCGTCAGATGGAGGTCAGCTGTTTTTTTAGCTGCAGGGATTGAATCTACAACTTGCACTGAGCTCAGCTCTGCCTTTCCTCTCTAGGTGTTACAGGATAGACACAGAGATTACATGTCCCTAAACTGCATTCTTCTGGGATCATGTTTAGTTTCGTGACCTTTTTATGTTCCTGTCGGTTCTCTGTTCAATATTTGTTTAGGTATGCATTGTGCCATCCTTTCCGCATCGCTCCATGGACTTGCCCCTGCCCTGGCCTCAGGCCCTCCTGACTGAAGCATGGCTGCATTGGCAAAGGGATGTGCGCAAACTGACAAAGTGCAGAGGAGCCACCTTGGGAGGAGCGGGGTGTTGTTTGTAGAAGCGGGGGCAGCTGAATGTGGGGGCAAACACACGCTGGCAGTGTGACTCAGAGCACACTCTGGCCAGTGTTTGCAAAGCAGAGTTTGTGAATGCTGGATTCTGCTTTGCTTTCCTGTGGCTTCTCTGCCTCTTTAGGAGAGCAAATGAAAGAGCAGGACCCTTCTGACAGCTTCAGGCATAGATAAAGGTAAAGGGACCCCTGACCGTTAGGTCCAGTCCCGGACGACTCTGGGGTTGCGGTGCTCATCTCGCTTTATTGACCGAGGGAGCCAGCATACAGCTTCCAGGTCTTGTGGCCAGCATGACTAAGTCGCTTCTGGCGAACCAGAGCAGCGCACGGAAACGCCGTTTACCTTCCCGCCGGAGTGGTACCTATTTATCTACTTGCACTTTGACGTGCTTTTGAACTGCTGGGTTGGCAGGAGCAGGGACTGAGCAACAGGAGCTCACCCCGTCGCGGGGATTCGAACCACCGACCTTTTGATGGGCAAGCCCTAGGCTCTGTAGTTTAACCCACAGTGCTACTCACGTCCCTCGCTTCAGGCATAATCGCCAGCAAATTGGCAGCCAGTTCAGACCGCTCTTGTGGGCCTTTTCAACTCTATAATTCAGTGCTGACCAGGTCTCGCTCCTCTCAGCAACCGTGCTGCAACATTCTGAGATTGGCTTAGCTCCTTGCGTGGGAGACTGCCAGAATCCCCAGTGCAGGATCAGTATCATAGGTGAAAAGGAACACACAATTATTATTTTTTAAACTTCCCACCATCTGCAAATGGTACAGCCTGGCAAAACCTGCTCTGTTTGTTTCTTTTCCCCCTGCTCAACAGTTGGGGAAACGGTTTACAGGCTCTTTGTGCTGCAGAAAATAATACATTTCACTCTGAAATGGATTGTTTTGACAGTGGCCAGGGTTGATATTGTTTATCCATCTTTTAGGGGGAAATGAGGGATTACAAACAAGCACAGGAAGGCTGGCTCACTGACAATATTTGAGATGTGTTTGTGGAATGCACATTACCTGGGTAGTTTGCTTTTATCACATCCCCCTCTTGTTTCTTTTAAGGGGATAGCTTTTTAGGTATACATCTGTCTACATAACCCACTGCGGCGAGAAACAATTCAATATTAAAATATTTTAGGGTGATGCAAAGGTAGGGAGCCACCTGGTATTGAATCAGACCCCTGGTCCATTCTGATCAGTTTTGGACTAGTGGCTCCTGGTGTTTCATCCTTGGCTGAAGAGGGCACAGACTGAACCTGGGAACTGCTGCGTGTGAAAGGGCGGGGAGGGCCATAGCTTAGTGGCTGACCATCTGTTTGGTGTGCAGAAGGTCCCTGGCATCTCCAGTTAGTGCAGGGGGAGAGCCCTGTTTTGTAGATGAGCCCAACGGCAAAGCAGCACCACGACCACTGAGCCACAGCACCTCTTCCCTATAATAGCCTATGGCTGGCTGCAGCCACAGTTGGAATGAATGGGCCTGTGCTTTGCATGTGTGTTTAATGCACCTGAATTCAAGGTTCTCTATAGTGGAAAGCGAAAGCAGGGCACAGAGAAAGTCCCAGTCCTTGGCATTTCCCATTCAAAGGATTGGACGGGAGGTAGAGGGGGAAAAGACCAGAGAGCTACAGCTACCAGCTGTCCTAGCAGTGTGGGGAGATGGGGAAGATGCTTACAAACTGCCACCACTGAGCTTGCTTACAGAGAGAAGCTGTTTGCACCTCTCCTGTTCAGAACAGGTAGGAAGGTGAGCATCTAGGGAGACATGGGCATGTTTAAAGGGGAGCGTTCAGTGCTTTTTTTCTGGGGGGGACGCAGGGGTATGCATATCCCTAAACATTTTGTGAATCTAAGTTTGGCCTCATTGAGTGGCAGTATTTCAATAGGAGTAGGAAAATGAGAGTACCCCTAAAATATTTTTTGTAGAAAAAAAGCACTGGGTGTGTTTAACACAGGAGAAGCTGAGCTCAGTGCAAATAGGAACTGAGCAGGAACAGCAAACAGTCTCTTGTGTATTGTAAATCTTTAAGGGTATATTTACTGAGGCCTTTTATGGATGTCACAGAGCTACAGTCAATCCCTTTTACTAGAGAACTCTGGGAGTTGTAGCCCTGGGAACAGGGGTCTCCTAAAAACTCTCAGCACCCTTAACAAACTACGGTTCCTGGGACTAGATGAGGAGAACCTGTGGTCTTCCAGATGCTCCTTGACTGCAACACCTGTATTCTTGACCTTGCTGACTGAGCCTGATGGGATTTGTAGTCTTAACAACTTCTAGAAGGCATCAGTTTTGAGGGGGAGGATGCTGTAGACTCTGGCAAGTTGTTCAGTGCATGTGTGAAGCCTTCCTTACATTTGAGAGTGATGTGCTGCCAATCACTTTACCTTGCCACACTGATAATTCCCTCATTGTCGACTTCCGTAGCTTATGAACAGGAGGGAGGCTGGACCCACTCCAGTTTGCAAATGGGTGTCATTCTGACCTCTTGGGTTTTGGATGGCTTGTTTGGTCCTTGACCTTTTTAACATTGCTTGATTTGGCAGTTTCTGCAGGTTGGGGATGGGATCAAAGCAGTCTTTTGAAATGCAGGTACTTCAGCTTAGCTCTTTCCTGTATGTATGTGTTTATAATGGGAGGACGGACATCTGTGGCCTCCAGATGTTGTTTAATCCAACTCCCTTCACCCACACTGCATGACCAGCAGTCAGAGAGGATGAAAGAACATCTGGACTAGTCTAGAGGCTTGTCTAATGCCAGGCAGGGGCCATTCTAAGATGGGTATTGTTAAGTTGTGGGTGAACATATCAGACGACACAGCGATTCTTCAAACAGCTCTTGTTTATTCACAGGCCAGGACAGAACTGAACTGAAGGGCTCAGTCAGCCTGCTTATATAGAGCTCCAGTACCACGTTACTGTAACAACTTTCTAAAACTATCCAATCACTGAACGTCACTTTCGATCCTTCATTTGCATAACTACAGTATCCATCCAATCACTGAATGTCACTTTCGATCCTTCATTTGCATAACTATCTCCAGTATCCCCCTGCTGGCCCGGGGTGAGAACTTCAGTACATAACAGATATGTTTAGCCTGGGGAATCGAAGGCTTGAGAGGTGATAGGATAGTCATTTTTGAATACTTGAAGGGCTGCCACATGAAGCAAACTCGTTTCTGCAGCTCCAGAGGGTAGGATCTGAACCAATGGATCCAAATTATAAGAAAGTAGATTCTAACTAAACATCAGGAAGAACTTGGTGATGGTAAGAGCTGTTCGACAGTGGAACCAGGTCCCTCAGAAGGTGGTGGACTCCTCTTCATTGGAGATTTTAAAGCAGAGGTTGGATGGTCATCTATGAGGAATTCCTTAGCTGTGGTTCCTGCATTGCAGAGGATTGGACTAGAGAACCCTTCCAACTCTACAATTCCATGATTCTATTACTAGATGGGCCCTTGGCAGACTTGTCTTACGTTCAGCTGTAGCAGCTGCATATAATGAGGGAATCAGTTTAACCTTCCAGCTGGTCATATAAGGTTTTTTTTATCATTCAGTTAAAATCTTAAGAGCTCTGTTAGATCAGGCCATGGTACATCTAATCCTGCCTTCAGCTTCATAGAGTGGCCAGTTAGATGTTTTCAGGGCAATGAAGCAGCGAGCCCTTACCCATTCTTTGTCCTCAGCATATCATACCTAGGGATAGACTGTCTCTGGATATGATAAGGAGTCATTATTTGACAATCAAGGAGGTGCATTTTTTTACTTACAGTGGTTAACAGCGGGCTCTGTAAATTTCTATCTGATTCTTTTTTTAAAAGCCAGTTTATCATGCACAAAACTGGAATTCTTTAAAAAATGGGGGTGCTCGAAGAACTAGGATGGGAGGAAGCCCGTTAAATGAAGAGTGGAATGTTTTAGGAGCAAGAGGGGGATGGAAAGAAAACAAAGAACCATTTGCAACGAAACTTTGTGGTGTGAAACCAGCTTATCCGGACGGCAGTGGCTGCGATGTGGGACCCGGTCCCCTATGCCCCGGGCCATCTACATCACTGGGGCTCTGCATGTGTCACTGTGTGAGTACAGGGTTGCCCTATGAGCCAATACCTAACTAGGGAACTTTAATCTGATAAGAGAAGCCGCTCAACCGGTTCATGTGATCGCTCGTCATCGTTTATCTTCGAATTGTTCCAGTTCAGTTGTGAGCAGGAACAGAGGCGTAGATGTTGATCTCTGTGAACGGACATAACAGGCGGTGTATCTCTCTCCCCCCCCCCCCGCCCCACACTCTGGCTGTTTATCTTTATGCAGAGGGCATTCAAGAAGCCAAAGTCTGGTCCAGGTCTGTTGTTCTGGATAGGCTTTGAAGCCAACCAATCTGCAAGGGAAGGGCTGTAGCTCAGTGGTAGAGCATGTGCTTTGCATGCAGAAGGTCTCAGGTTCAATCCCTGCTGTCTCCTGGTGGGGCTAGAAGAGAGTGCTGCATGAAACCCTGGGAACAAGCTGCCAGTCAGTGTAGACGATATTTAGCTGGATAGATCAACAGTCCGATTCTGCATAAGGCAGCTTCTGATATTCCCATGCTCCTGCAATGTACTATGTGCTATGTTTTTGCATGTGTAAAGGTAAAGGTAAAGTGACCCCTGACCATTAGGTCCAGTCGTGGCTGACTCTGGGGTTGTGGCACTCATCTCGCTTTATTGGCCGAGGGAGCCTGCATACAGCTTTTGGGTCATGTGGCCAGCATGACTAAGCCGCTTCTGGCAAACCAGAGCAGTGCATGGAAATGCTGTTTACCTATTTATCTACTTGCACTTTGATGTGCTTTCGAACTGCTAGGTTGGCAGAAGCAGGGACTGAGCAGTGGGAGCTCACCCCGTTGTGGGGATTCGAACCTCCAACCTTCTGATCAGCAAGCCCTAGGCCCTGTGATTTAACCCACAGTGCCACCCGCGTCCCTCTTTGCATGTGTAAGAAGGTACAATTAAGGAAGAATGGGAACTTTTTACAAATTATCTAAAAAGACGACAAAATGATTTGTACTCCTTGGCAAGTTTTGAATAAACATCCACAAATTTATTAGTTGAATACATGATGGATAAGGCAATGATACAATTTTATAATATGCAGAGAACAATATGCGCAAAGAAACCAGAGAGGGGAGCTGAGGGAAGTCCGGGGGGGGGGGGGAGGGAGAGAGGAAAAAGAGGGGGGGAATGTAAATGGTGATATTAATTGATAATTTGTTTGCTAAAATTGTTCAATAAAAATATATATTAAAAAAAGAAGTAGGTACAAGAGGTAGTGATGGCCACCAACTTATATAGTGTTAAAACCACTTTGAGGGTTTTTTTCCTCTTTTTTTTAAATAAAATAAATTCACAGAGGATAAGATTATCAACAGCTACTAGCCATGATGGCTGCCTCTGAATACCAGCTGCTAAGAATCACAAATGGGAGTGCAAATGTTGCACTTAGGTCCTGCCTGTAGGCTTCCCATAGACATAATGGTTGGCTATAGAGAGAACAGGATACCGGACTAGATGGGCTATTAGCCTGATTTAGCGTGGCCCTTCTTGCAGCTTTCTACATCCCTGTTCCATTGGAAAGCTGGGAAGGAGCTTCAGAATGACAGACATTACAAAGCAACACTGCGAATTTTGCAATATTTTCGCTGGGAAATAACTTGGCCTTTGAGCCAGTTGGAGTCATTGGCCCTTATCCAGATAGCCTTTGCAGTTTCCAGTCTGAGTTATGAGGAAACCCTGCCCTTGCCCTTGTGCTTGACTGGAATGGTTCAGTTAAAAGCACAGCGGCAGGCACATTGCCCAGTGCAAGGTTTTGGACGTTCTTAGAATGAGCTTTCGTAGATTGCAGAGCTTTGTCAGCGACAGCACTGGAGTGCTGTGCTTTCAGATATGCTGCACTGAGTGGCTACAGAAAGGATGGGGAACCTGGACCCTTTCTGATGTTGCTGAACTACAACCCTCATCACCCCTGACCATTGGCCACACTGGCAGGGGATGATGGGAGTTGGAGTCCAACAACAGCTAGAGAGCTGCAGGTTCCCCAACCCATGATACAGGATATCAGCAGACGGGTGGGGACTATTCATAGAATGGGACATCATTTTTTTTTGCTGTTGTTTAGTTCCTAATTTCTCATCGTACAGAATAAGACGATTGATTTAGATGGAACAGGGGGTGGGGAACCTTGGGCCCAAGGGCCAAATGCAACCTTCTGGGCTTCTCTATCTGGTTCTTGAGGCTCTCTCCAAGCCAGACTCCTCACTTGTTCTGCTTCACACCTTGGATGTTCCTGAGCTAGAAGCTGGTTGGCTCTGTTTTGGCTAAAAGGGCACAGGTAAAGGTAAAGGGACCCCTGACCATTAGGTCCAGTCGTGGCCGACTCTGGGGTTGCGGCGCTCATCTCACTTTATTGGCTGAGGGAGCCAGCATACAGCTTCCGGGTCATGTGGCCAGCACGACTATGCCACTTCTGGCGAACCAGAGCAGTGCACGGAAACGCTGTTTACCTTGCCGCCGGAGTGGTACCTATTTATCTACTTACACTTTGACGTGCTTTCAAACTGCTAGGTTGGCAGGAGCAGGGACTGAGCAACGGGAGCTCACCCCGTCGGGGGATTTGAACCACCAACCTTCTGATCGGCAAGTCCTAGGCTCTGTGATTTAATCCACAGTGCCACCCCCACAGATCCCTTTATTAAAACAGCAACTTTCTTGGTTGTGTTCTTTGCAGGTTAGTTGTAGGCTGGAAGACTCTTTGGCCTCTAGAACGTAAGAACGCAAGGAAAAATCTGCTGGATCAGGTCAGTGGCCCATCTGGAACAGCATCCTGTTCCCTCAGTGGCCACCTAGAAGCCCGTGGGAAACCTCCAAGCAGGACCCAAGCTCATGAGCACTCTCCTCTACGGTGGTTTTTCAGAAACATTCCTGCTTCTGCACCGTGTGTTGGGATTTGTATTCTACAAAGAGCAGCCACTTAAGACTGGTCACTTGTACAGGCTGTGAGAATGTGAAGGTGAACTGGCTGGGGAAGGGGGTCATAGCTGTGTGGCAGAATACAGTGGTACCTCAGGTTACATACACTTCAGGTTACAGACTCCGCTAACCCAGAAATAGTACCTCGGGTTAAGAACTTTGCTTCAGGATGAGAACAGAAATTGTGCTCCAGCGGTGTGGTGGCATCGGGATGCCCCATTAGCTAAAGTGGTGCTTCAGGTTAAGAACAGTTTCAGGTTAAGAACGGACCTCCGGAATGAATTAAGTACTTAACCCGAGGTACCACTGTATAGACCTGTGGCCTGCTCAATGTTGTTGCACTTTAGCTTCCAGTAGTCCCAGCCAATGGTCAGGAATAATGGGAGCTGCAGTCCAATACTATCTGGCAGGCCACAGCTTCTGCTTTACATGGAGAAATCCCCCAGGTTAAATCTTCTTGTGTACACATAATTACTGTTTCTTTTCAAGGAGTCCCGCCCCCTCCAAAATGCATATAATTATACTTTACATTAATTACATCAGAAACATTAACACAACTATAACAGTGCAGTGTGCAGCTTTTAACAGTGTGAAGGGAGGCAAGCGAGAGGCAGAGGTTTACATGCAAACAGGGCCAGTTATTCCACGCTCATCGGAAAAGGCTCAACAGAGAATTACTTAATTATTTATTACTTATCAGTAATAAGTGCAACCAGAACTTCTTCCAAATGTGTGGCAGCTACACAGCACCTCTCTGCCCAGCTACATAATCATACATCTTTTAAACAGAAAAAGATGAATGACATTTAATACAAAGTCCACTAAAGGTCATGTGAGCACAGTTGAAATTTTGCTTGCAAAAGGATCAGATATAAACAACCTCACACCCTCTGGCCTAGCATTTCAGAATGTGTTTCATGATGTGAAAACCAGCCTCCAGCCGGGATAACATTGGCACCCTTGTTGTCTTCTTGAGAAAGGAAATGTCACACCTGCACTTTTTGAGGAGGCAGCACTTTTGTTGTTGAATACTTGCATGTAAAGTCTAGGTAAAACTAGGAGGGCTGGACCTTCCACTAGGCTGAAGGGGTAGATGCATCAGGCAGAGGATGCTGGGCTTTGGGTGGGTGCATAGTCCCGTCCTCCTGTATCCCTGTCTGCTCATGTGTTATGAAGCTTTTGCCTGAGTGGGCTGGAAACAAAAGCTACATTGACAGGGCCTTGAAGTTGCCCATTGACACTTAGCACCTGGAGCAGACTGAGCAGGCAGACAGGTCACAGTCTTCCACACTATGAGGAAATGTGTTGCTATTTAAATTGCAGCAAGGATTTATATAAGGTGTGCAATTAAAAGGGATGGAAGAGCTCTGTTGCAACGAATCCATTTCTAAAAACCCTGGACTTTTTGCAGTTAGGTAAGTGATAGGGAAATGCACTTCATAAGTGAATGATTTCAGAGGAAGACACATAACCATCCTGCATTCAAATCAGGACGGATCTTCATTGTGCTATAATCTCCCCACAAACCAATCAGAAAGAAAGCTCAACTGATCTCCACATAAACAAATTGGAAAACAGGTTGTCTGGAAGAGCCTCAGGACTATTCGCCACAGACATCCTATAATCTGGGGATTGGGAAATGCATATGGTAGGCAGGTGATGTTATGAAGACCAATTAATCAACACTGTCCTAAGGTGGCTTTTGTCCTTCAATGTGTACTGTATTGAAAGCTTGCAGAACTGGGTCATGTTTGTTGATTTATACACCACCTTCTGCCAGTGCATTCAAGGTAAATTATAATTTTTAAAAGCCATGCTTTGCAATCTAATGCCATGATGTGGAAGGAATAAAGGTGGAGAGGGAAGGAAGAGGAAAACAAGCAAATGTACCAGCTCTTTCATAACAGTTACATAATGAACTAGTGGACTATTTGCTTTTGTTGCACCCTTTGAAATGTACCTTGGAACAGAAAAAGGTGTCACTGTTATTCTTACAGAGGTACATCCAACTCCACCCTTTGGTTGAAGTGTACTTATGCCATTACTATCTTACTCTCTCTCCCCACCCCACCTCAGTTTTCCTGTAATCTACACTTTACATGGGAGTCTTGTTGTTGTGTACATGTTAAGTGTGTCCTGCCGAATGCTGTGAAGTATGTGGGGAGAAACGTGTCTGTACACATACAGGGACATGTGCCAGGGCTGACCCAAGTCATTTTGCTGCCTGAAGCAGAGCACCAAATGGTGCCCTCGCCCCCTGAAGTCCAAGGTACATAGTGTCAAAGGCCAGCCAAATATGTTTTGGCTTCTGAGGCAGAAAATCCCACAACTGTCTCTCCCCCTCCCTGTCAAGACAAAATACAACAATGATAAATTAAACAGCTTACAATTTGCTGCTCTTTCGTGATGCCTGAGGAAGCTGCCCCATTACATGCTGGGAAACTGTGGTTTGATAGAGCTGGCTTCCTGACAATTGTCCCTTGTATGTTTATTTAATAAGTCCCTCACTTCTGTGAGTCCATGCCATGGTTCCCACCCCCCTTTGTTGTTTTCAGCAAACCACATCATATTTATCTGGCTTTGTGTGGGTGGAAGAAGGGGATATACCATGCTAGGAGGAGGAAGGTTCTATGTCCTGAAAACATGGCTAATGAGCTGCAAAAGTGAAACAAATTGCTATGAGTTCTAGTATGGGCCCTGCTTGTGGGCTTTCTATGGATGCCTGCTTGGCCACTGTGAGAACAGGACGCGGGACTAGATCACTACCTGATCTAGCAGGGCTATCCTTACAGACAGGGCTGGATTTAGGTTTGATGAGGCCCTAAATTACTGAAGGTAATGGGGCCCTTTATATGTCCAGCTGTCCTTTGTCAACAACAAATTGTCCCTTTTTTGTGTGTTAAATATATGCTATATGGTAATTTATGGACCTAACAGGTATCTAAAGCCATTTGCACATAACAAAATATGTATTTTATCATTGTAGGTTTTATTTGTTTTTATCTTATATTTTGGAAATGTACATCCAATTTTTTTCCTTTAATTTTTTGGGGGGCCAAGAGAGTGGGGCCCCAAGCTATAGCTTGTTTAACTTATATGTAAATCTGGCATTGCTTACAGATCTATGAGTCTGTGGGGGGATTTATCTTTAGCAGGGGGAGGAAGAATGGGCATGGTTGCTCAGAGTCCTGTGAGTCCAAGGGAGCCTCGACTACTTAACTCACTTTCCAAATTCTTATCAGTCACTTTTTACATCTCCTAACCTAACTTCGACTTGTCCTGAGTTTCTCAATTCCCCAAATGTTCCTTTTGATGTGCCCATATATTCATCCCTCGCCCCCGTTTTGGATCCGGCTTCCCCTCCCACACCTTTTCTTTTCAGCTCCGCTCTGATGTTTGCTTTCTCAAGAAAAGAGAACTTTGCTCCCAGTTCCCTATAAAGCAATCAATCCGGTTCCAGAGAAACTCAGTGACAACTTGGTCCCGGACATTGAGCTGCAAGGAAGAATCATAGCCCATTTCCTGTTCCCTCCCTCCCCTCTCCAGTGTTAAGAGGTTAATTTCCCCCGGGTCTACTTTCAAGGCTTTATTTTTATTTTGCTCCTCCAAAAGTAGGCGGGGCTTTTCCCAAAGCTGTTGTCTTGTCGCTAGGTCATTGGCTGCGGCGCGCGCCACTTTCCGAACGTTGCCGGTCCCTCGGAGCGGCTGGAACATCCAGGGCGGAAGGCTATTGGTCAGAGACAGAGAGGGTCGAGGGAGGCGGAGGGGTGGTGGAGAGGCCTTTTCCCTGCGTGACGTAATCGGGACTTCCCCGCCCACATTCCACAGCTGGGGAAGTGTAGGAAGCGGCTATGGAATTAGGAGGGTGGAAGAGCCAGGGAATCGGCTTCTGGATTCTGATTGGGCGCTCGCCTTCGAAGTCCCCGAGCTTGCCGTCGCTGATTGGCCAGAGCGGGGGGCGGAGCCAAGAATCTGGTGGGGGCTGGAGGGAAGGCAGCAGCTGGTGGCAGTTTGGCGTTTCAGGAGCTCTGGGGAAGGTCTCTGCCAGTTGGGAAACGGAGGTCTTGCTTGAAAGCAGATGCGCGCCCGAGATCTAGGACATATGGTTGCAAAACTAGCTGGCTGTTGCATTTATTTATTTTTTGCTAGTTATAGATTGGCGAGTGTCTGACATTTTCAGTTATATTATTATATAGCTTCTATTTTATTCCTTTTCTAAAGGAGTAAGGCGCACAGAGGCAGGGGCGGCGTTGTTTTTTTCAGCCTTATGGCACAAATTTGTTTTCTGTGATCGTTCCGAGGTGCTCCAAGAGTGCATATTTCTCTCCCCACTCCCGCTCTTGGTATTGCTGAGGTCCGAAATGGCCATGGATGGGCTGGAAAGCGGGGAGCAGAACCTGTTGCACTGGGACCGAAAGCTGAGCGAGTTGTCGGAACCGGTGGACTCTGATGCCCTGCTCTACAGCACGGTGAGAACACGGTCAAACACTGGGACGGTGGTAGTGGTGGGAGGCATGGGAAAATGGGGCGGCACAATGGAACTTTATTCTGTTGGCTTGCTGATGCAGTTATCCACCCTGTAAGAAAATAGGCACAGTGTGTGGTTTTTTAAAAAGTAACTTCGAGGTGGGGTTTACTCTTTGTGGGTGGAAGAAAAAGTTCTGGCTGGTGCACATCTGGCTTCAGAAAGTCACCCTGCTATTAGCAACCCCTTCCTGGGCTTTCATTATGTAGGAGGAGTCTCTTTTTTCTTGGAAAAAAAGTTATGTTGAGCTCATCTGGAATTGGCATCTCTTGCACTTTGTCTCTCCACCTCCCCTTTCATGACTTAAGTTTTCCTCCCTCTGTTTTCAAAAAGGGCATTCTGCTCTGTCTGCTCATGGCTGTTAGAATAAGTGCCAGGTGCTGTCTGCTGTAGGGCCAGTGAAGAGTTCTCAAAACAGCTTTATGGTTTTTTAAAAAATAGTGGAGAGCCTGGAGTTTGGAATTTCAGCAGGGGGGGGGGGAATTAGGAGCTGCTGGTGCAAGGAGGAAATACCTGTACTTTGAAAGGTTATCTGTGTTTCTTGATGCAAATCTAATTACTGCCCACAAGGCCTGTTTGGACCAGCATATATATGTGTGTGTGTGGTTTAAGCGTGGGGATTCCTATTTCTTCAGAAGTGCTTGTTACGAAACTTTTGATTGGACTCTTTCCTGTTTCTGCACATTAAGAGGTTCCTATTAAGAGCTGTCAGCAAGAAAATAGCAGTCTTTCTGAGAACTGCAATAACGTTCTCATTCTTTGGGCAGCATTCCAAGCTCTGAAACTTTTGCAGACCTGGTTTCTTGTGTTCCCTCTTCCCTGCCTGCTTTTAGTTTGCTGAAAGGAAGTAAATGCCCACGTCTCCAAAGAATATTTATGGTGGTTCTGCAGTGGTAGCCATGAAAGCAAATAAGAGATAATCAGTGCTTTGTGCCAGATGTTGGAGGTTTTTCCTCTTGCTGGAAAGTGTGCACCAGCGACTTTATCCAAACTCAGTCTCTGCACGTACAACTTTATTCCCAGACTGCTGGAGAAAAAGGAGATCTGTTTGAGCAAGCAAAGTTGGTGGTGTGTGTATCTTTTTCTTTTACCATCTCACTTTTATTTTGAGAATGCTTGGCACTTAAGGCAAGAATGACTTGGAGCATGCGCAAAGTTCCTCCCCACTGTAAAAAATCGAGTTTTTTCTTTTTTAGAAGGAAAACACATCTGAGGAGAAAGCATTTTGAAATGTGCAGAATGATTTTTCCTCCTCAGGAAGAGAACCAACTTTTTGAAAAGTCAGAGGGAAAAGTGCTTCCACCCACTGTGAGGACATAACGTTTTAAAAACAGACTCCAAGTTGGCACTGGCTGCACGCGCAATTCATATTCACATATATACTAATGCATTTCCACATGGCAAATGTCCTATCCATCCAGACTAGTGTGGTGTCTGAGAGAGCAACAAGTCTCCCTGCATTTCACAAAGAGAATTTCCCTAGCTCTCTGGCACACAACACCCCACCTCTCAATATCCTGGGGTGAGTGGTATCCAAAATATTAGAGGAGGCTAAGTTTCCCTGGCCCTGATTGTTTACACTTTATTTCTGCTGGTGAAAAGATCCTTGCTGACCCAAAGCAAGCATACCCTTGTATCGAGCCTAGGTATTTCAACAGAAGATGGTGCTTCATCTTAGTTTTTGGCATCAGATGGTACACTTGCCATTCATAGGGTACTAGGAACGCACCCCGTGTGGTTGATTTGGGACTGCAGAGTCTGGTTGCACTCTTCACACAGTTAGCGTTCCTGGCAACACTTGGCAATGACATGGGCACTCCCCATTGCAATTAAACCAAAGTACCTAATAAGGGGTTCTAGATGTGATAGCCTCAGTGCAGCTCAGCAGTCAAGAGGCAATTAAGTTCAGCCACTTTCTCTGCTTATGGCATTAATTCTTGGAGCTCAGCATGCCAGTCTCTGCTGTCCTAGACTGAACATTTTAGAAGTGTGGCTAGCTCAATGTGTGATCTGTAATGGATATATGGAAATTAATTTCAGCTGGGCTTCATCACAAGGTCGTTCTTTCAGTGCACCCATGGCAGGTATATTTGCCAGGTGCTAGCGCAGGGTTTATTATAATTAATTAATTAATTAATTAGTAAGTAATTAAATTTGTTACCCATCCTTCCCTGGTTACCGTTTAAAATCCAGAATTAACGATCTTACAGTTACAGGAATATGGTGGGTCCTGAAAACATACATCTGAGGTGTGTAAAGAGTTGATTCTTTAGCATGTCCTGAAAGAGGTACAGCGATGGAGCCATATTCACCTCTGTGCTGAGGGTAGCCATGGTGATGTTCTCCAGATGTTGTTGGACTGCAGCTTCCATCATCTTGTACCATGGCTCACCTGCTGGGGCTGGTGGGCATTGGGAAGCCAATAACAACTAGGAGGGCTGGATTTAAGTTTGATGAGGCCCTAAGCTACTAAAGGTAATGGGGCCCTTTATATGTCCAGCTGTCCTTTGTCAACAACAAATTGTCGCTGTTTTTTGTGTTGAATATATGCTATGTGGTAATTTACAGACCTAATAGGTATCTAAAGCCATTTGCACATAATGCCATGCAACCAGTCCATGCAGAATGTAGGCACCCTATATCTAGAAATGAGCAAACCAGTGATATTTTAGGAAGCAGGCGAGCAGGTGGGGCCCATTGCTTGCATCATAGGAGGCTACACAACACAAAACACTGTTGTTGTATGTAGGTTTTATTTTATTTGTTTTTTTACCTTATATTTTGGCAACGTACATCCAGATTTCCCCCCTTTAAACTTTTTTGGGGGCCCGCAAGAGAGTGGGGCCCTAAGCTATAGCTTGTTTAGCTTATACGTAAATCCAGCACTGATGTTGGGGCACCTTGTGCTAGTGTGACCTAGAATGGGGCCCAGGATGAGACTATGCAGATAAGGGGCTGTCTTGGTTCCCAGCGGTTCCCATTGAGTTCTGTGGGGTAAACTGGCTATGATTTGAGATACTCTGGAGAGAAGTTGGGAAGGGAATGAAGCTCACATGTCCAGGGTATGTTTAGTACGCATCCCATGCTATCCCTTTACTTTCTCCCCACATTCACGTCTGTTGAAAGGGATTTAAATACCAGCCTTCAGGGCAACATTGCAGAGGATGCAAAGCCTGCACGCCACCATTCTTGACATTGTTTTCCCTCCCCTGCATGTCTCATTCTGCCCTCCTGGCAGAAATACAGCATCTCATTCCTGAGGATACTCCTTTGTGGTCTTTCTAAGAGGGAAGCTCTCCCGGTGCACACACCTTGCCTATCAAAATGGCAGGGGTTTCCCCAAGTAAAGTAATGATGCATTTGCATCATTGGTGGAAAACCTGCTTTGCTTGTATAGCTTCAAATATTCAATCAGTACGTTTTTGAGCACAATTTAAAGTGTTGGTGCAGATCTTTAAAGCCCTAAATGGCCTCAGCCCAGTATACCTGAAGGAGCATCTCCACCCCCATCGTTCGGCCTGGACACTGAGGTCCAGCACCGAGGGCCTTCTGGTGGTTCCCTCACTGCGGGAAGTGAGGTTGCAGGAAACCAGGCAGAGGGCCTTTTCGGTAGTGGTGCCTGCCCTGTGAACACCCTCCCATCAGATATCAAGGAAATAAACAACTACAGTGGTACCTCGGGTTAAGAACTTAATTTGTTCTGGAGGTCTGTTCTTAACCTGAAAGTGTTCTTAACCTGAGGTACCACTTTAGCTAATGGGGCCTCCCGCTGCCGCCGCTCCGCTGCTGCGCAATTTCTGTTCTCATCCTGAGGCAAAGTTCTTAACCCGAGGTACTATTTCTGGGTTCACGGAGTCTGTAACCTGAAGCGTCTGTAACCTGTGGTACCACTGTATCTGACGTTTGGAAGACATCTGAAGGCAGCCCTCTTTAGGGAAGTTTTTATTTTGTTTTTGTTTTGTTTTTGTTTGGCTGATGTTTTCCCGTGTTTTTAATATTCTGTTGGCAACCGCCCAGAGTGGCTGGGGAAACCCAGCCAGATGGGCAGGGTATAAATAATAAATTATCATCATCATCATCATAAGTGATACCCTAATTTAGGGAAAATCCGGACACAAACAAATGTTTTAGCTTTTTTAAAAATAGAAAATTCCCAAAGTGGTTGAGCTTGGGGTGGGGGTGGGGATGGAGACTGCAGTTTTATGTTGCCGAAGATCCAGGATGAAAATTCCCCCCGGATGCCACTTCCAACCTTGAAATTCCAGACGTATAGCAAACCTGCCGTAATTAGAAGGAGCAGATTATGGGAAACACTTCTGCCTGAATAGCTGGAGAGCTCTGCTGTGCAGTGTAGATCATTGTGGGGTTCTTGAAATGAAAACAAAAATCTATTGCGGTTTTTAGAATTTACCGTATTTTTTGCACCATAACACTCACTTTTTTCCTCCTAAAAAGTAAGGGGAAATATCTGTGCATGTTATGGAGGGAATGCCTACGGGTGGCATTCCTACGGATTTTCCTCCTCTAAAAACTATGTGTGTGTTATGGTCGGGTGCGTGTTATAGAGCGAAAAATACGGTATATACCAACAGTCTGAGTCGGCTTCTGACTTCCTAACCCAGAGATCAGACACATTTTGCTAGCCCTGATAAACTACCTGGTGTCCCCCCACCCTCTTTCCACTTTTCTTGAAATACATGGAAGCTGGTAATTGTTTTCAGCCGTATCTGAGATATGAGGTGGAAAAATTTCCCAGCTCTGTACCCAGTGCACCACCTCTAGATGGACTCCAACTCCCATCAGCCCCAGCCAGCATGGCCAGAAATCAGGAATGATGGGAACTGGAGTTCAGCATCTGGAGCGCACCATGTTGGCTACACCAGGCTCTAGCGCATCAGAAATTTTTCCTGTATGAATTGCTCTGATTTGCATAGGATTCTCCTCACCAAAGAATAAACCACAACAGCGAGATGAATTAAAATTCATTGTCAGATTCCAGTTTTGCTCGTTTCTAGTAGTATCGTTGTCTTCTGTATTGCAATTCCTTGCAATTAATATAATTATAAAACATAAAACTGTCAGATATTATTCTCTTCCTCTGTCACTCGAAGCTTCTTCTTTTACCTTGCATAATGTTATTTTTGTGGAACGACTTGGAGGCAGGGGCGTGTTCTGTGGGGTCTTCAGCTTGTGAGTTGGCAAGGGCATTAGCAGCAGGAAATTCTACTAAACTCTGTTTTACTGAAGAACTGGTGCCTTCCAGCATAATATTAATCCACTGGAATTCCCCTCCACATTTTCATTAGACTTTCAAATGTTGGAATGCAAACCCACAAATGTTGGTTGTTTTTTTGTTTAACTCTTGCTAAATAGTTTTATCATCCATGACCCACACAGCTAGCCTGCTAGCAATTTTGTCATATCCTGAGGTGCTAGGGTAGATTGTTAACACTTTTAAATGTCACAAACAAAAACTAAAATTGTTTTTTTTTTAAACCAACAAAATCCAAACAAGACCCTGAATCTTAGCTTCACCTTATTTCCCACTATCAACTTCATTTTGGCCACTGAAACTGCTGTTTCAGGAATAATAATAATAGAATATTAGAATTGTTGGTAAAGATCCCTGGACAGTTAAGTCCAGTCGAATTTGACTATGGGGTGCGGCGCTCATCTCCGCTTTTAGGCTGGCAATGGGACTCTGTGACGGAAGCCAGAGTGCACGGAAACGCCGTTGTAGAATTGTAGATTTGGAAGGAACTATGAGGGTCATTTAGCCCAACCCCCTGCAATGCAGGAATATCAACTAGATCATAATAAAATCATAGAATTGCAGAGTTGGAAGAGCTCTTGGTTGCTATTACAGTCATACCTCATGTTACATTTGCTTTAGGTTGAGCATTTTCAGGTTGCGTCCCGTGGCGACCTGGAAGTACCGGAAAGGGTTACTTCCGGGTTTCGCCGCTCGCGCGTGCGCAGACATTGATTGTGTTCCTTTCAGGTTGCAAACGGGTCTCTGGAACGGATCCCGTTCGCAACCAGAGGTACCACTGTATTGCAACAAACCAATCTGGGTTCCTGTGTCTGGGGTCTGAACATTGCATATGCACCACAACTCTGGCAATTGGCTCATGTGAAATACTTTAAAACTCTGTCTTTAGCTGATTCTCAAGTGCCAGAGAATTCAGCATTTCTCCTTGGTGAATAGACACCTTGTTTTCTCCACAGCTGCACATATTTGTGAGCCCCTGGAAAGGTAATCTGAAGAGCCTTTGCAAGTTGCTCTGAATAGAGCCAGTCTTCTAATTCCTCTTGACAGGTGAATCAAAAGTGAAGAAAGAAAGTGAGGGGCAGCGTCGACAGATAACCACAAATCGGGCCTCTGCTGCTGACTCTGGTTTCCGAATCAAACTTCGGATAGGGATGGAAGCAGTATGAAACACCTGGTATGAAGCACAGCTGCTTCAGCCATTTCCAAAGACCCTGGCCTGAGTCCAGGTAAAATTAGTCACTGCTGTGCCTCATGGACGCCAGTGGAACAAAGCTAGTTGCAATGACAAGAACTGAACAGTGCAATCCTGTGCATGTCTACTTAGAAGTAATCCCCATTGACTTCAGTGGGACTTCCCGAACACCCTATCGACTGGCAAGTTCGATAGAATACTCACTCCTCCTTTTTAAAAAATTGTGATTATGCAAAAGAAATAAAGGAGCAGCTTGTCTTTCAACCCTGTTATCTTTTACAATGTTGATCCTTTGATGGACCACTTAGTTGGTCAACCAATGTCAACATATTGGCAGGGATGGAAATGTCTGTTGCTTCATTGCTTGCAGGCAAATTTAAAAGGCAGGTTACTCTAACCAGGAACTTGGAAATGTCAACAGCTTACCTGAGCATTTGAGTCAACCTCTTCCTCCTGTTGTGGTTTTTATCCGCCCTCTTCTCAAGCAAACCTGCTGTTTTGCAGTTTATAGGAGATATATATATTTTTCTTTTAAAAAGAGGTGTAATGTTGGAGGAGAACTGAGGGGGAATTTAGCAAACTAGCCAATATAGCTTGACTGTGATAATCTTTCCATTTATACATTTTTAAAATAATTTTTTTAATGCAGATTTAATGAGGAAATGAGAAAAAAAGATAAAATTAAATAAGAGAAGGAAAACAAGCCAAAATAATAATATACAAACAATAACAGTAGACCACCATCAGTTTATATTGCAGATACAATGACCACCAGTACACAAATCTTAAAATTAAATATGTAAGTTAATATAAGCCCTCCAGTTTTTGCTGTTTTTGCCATATAGAAGATCCACTTGTACAAAAACCTGTTTTAAGAAAATAGATAACTAAAGAGACAGCCAGTTCACCTGTTGCATGAGAAGAAAGGCAAGACTAGGCAGGCCTCTTGTCTATTTTACCCACACCCTGTGGCTGCTTTTAACTTTACAAATGGAATGAGACCGGAAAGGTTAGGTTGTGAATCTCCTGCCAATTTGTCCAGTTGCACCATAAGAAAGGAGTATACAATTTAAGATGGTACAAGGGCGAGTTATTTTAGCTCCTTATTCTTTGGCACATGGCCAACACAGTATTTCTCTCCCCAACCTTTTTTGGTTTATCTTTGGATTGCTGTGTTGCATCCATGTTTTTTTCTGGTATTTGTATATCAAACAATTTTTGTGTCAAAGGAGCAAAGGTTTAAGCTGGAGTGACAAATAGGGGAACATAAAATACTTCTTGAATTTTAGACGTTTGCCTAGTGTCAATAGGCAGGGAGTTCCGAAGTGTAGGTGCTGCCACACTAATAGATGCAATTTCCTCCAACTGCAGTTGATTGAAGTGGTTGGCTGGGCATTTATGCAGTAAGGCTATCCCACAAGTAAACATGTGTTGGAAGCTGCTCAGAGTGGCTGGGGCAACCCAGACAGGTAGGCAGGGCACAAATAATAAGATTATTATTATTAGGTGTACACGATGGTTGCATAGTAATCTTGGGACCCACACATAAACCTCTCTCGACCTGACCTACCTTTCAGGGTTGGTGTAATAACAAAAAAGGAAGAGGATTATATGCATCACTCTGAACTACTTGGAGAAAACAGTGGGAGGAAAACAAACTCTGTATTTTAGTCAAAGGAGTGTACGTAATTGGGATGAGGATGGCAAGGAGTCCATGGTTCAGATTCCAGCAGGCCACATGGCTTTCCTTGCTGCTTTTTTCCACCTAAAGTTCAGAGTTGAGATCATTCTTGGGGATGAGCTGGGGAAACTTTGAGCTTCCCTTATCTCTCTTCAGGTAAATTACTTGGAAAGAGCAGTGAAGTCTAAACACCCACTTGCTTTGACTTTGCTTTCTTGTTTCCTAATGAAAATGTTCAGCCCTGCGATAAGGTAAAGTTTATCTGAAGAGCTTATCTAGTGAGTGGTTCTTCTGTGTCTTTCTGAAGCTGCTGTTGAGAATCTGGTTTGTGGCCTTGTCCCCTTTTTTTCACACAGCTCGGTTTTTTTATATGCACACTGAAAAACAACAACAAACTCCATGTTCAAACGTAGGGGAATGAGGCATGTGTCTACATTGCTTTGCAGGAAATTAACGTGTCTTTCTTGATATCTCCGAATTAGCTACCTTATTTATTGCAAATATTTATATAACCAGACTATCTCAGTATTGTTTGACTGGCAGTAACTTGCCAGGGTTCCAGGTAGGGGATATTCTCAGCCCTACCTGGAAATGCTGGGGAAGAAGAAGAGGAGGAGTTTGGATTTGATATCCTGCTTTATCACTACCCGAAGGAGTCTCAAAGTGGCTAACATTCTCCTTTCTCGTCCTCCCCCACAAAAAGCAGTCTGTGAGGTGAGTTGGGCTGAGAGACTTCGAAGAAGTGTGACTAGCCCAAGGTCACCCAGCAGCTGCATGTGGAGGAGCGGAGACCCGAACCCGGTTCACCAGATTACGAGTCCACCGCTCTTAACCACTACACCACACCAGGGACCTTCTGCGTGCAAGGGAAATGCTCTGCCACTCTCCCTCTCCATATGAAGAGCTAACACATGAGTGGGGTGCTGGCCCCAGTTCTGATGATCCTGCACTGGTTTCTTCCTGCAACCACTGTGTGCTTGAGGCAGGGGCTGACCATAGGCTCCTCCATGTGATCTGGAGCCCTTTGTGAAGATGCACATTCAGCCAGTTCCCATTCACAACTTTGCTGAAGTACAGAAGTTGTCAGGGTGGTGGGCACAGCTGTGTTTCTTGCCTGTGTGTGTATGTGCTGTGAATGCAAGGGGCTGATCCTAGTCCCTCTCTGTTTGGAGACCTAATGAGTGAATAGGCTTGAAGTCCAGGACATAAGAAACAACTACTGTGTGCCTTTGGGGGGTGTGTGAAGTCAAACTGTCGGAAGGTTGCAGTGCTTGCTGTGGGTGTAGAGACCAATATGGAAGAGACGTGTTTGGTTGCAGCTGGGGCAGATGCACCACGGCGTTTCTTCTCTCTGTGCTCCTCCCAGCGGTCATTTCTCCTCTGGTCACTGCTACGGATTGATGACTTGACTGTCTGCAGGTACTGCGGTCATCTGCAAGGGGTTCCCTTGTGGCAGGTTGATGTTGCCAGCCTTCGCGCATCACGTTTGCAGACATCTTTGTAATGCAGAGGTGGCCTGCCAATTGGCCTGGTGCAATTCTGGGCTGCATCAATAGGAGTATAGCATCTAGATCAAGGGAAGTAATAGTGCCACTGTATTCTGCTCTGGTCAGACCTCACCTGGAGTACTGTGTCCAGTTCTGGGCACCACAGTTCAAGAAGGACACTGACAAACTGGAACGTGTCCAGAGGAGGGCAACCAAAATGGTCAAAGGCCTGGAAACGATGCCTTATGAGGAACGGCTAAGGGAGCTGGGCATGTTTAGTCTGGAGAAGAGGAGGTTAAGGGGTGATATGATAGCCATGTTCAAATATATAAAAGGATGTCACATAGAGGAGGGAGAAAGGTTGTTTTCTGCTGCTCCAGAGAAGCGGACACGGAGCAATGGATCCAAACTACAAGAAAGAAGATTCCACCTAAACATTAGGAAGAACTTCCTGACACTAAGAGCTGTTCGACAGTGGAATTTGCTGCCAAGGAGTGTGGTGGAGTCTCCTCCTTTGGAGGTCTTTAAGCAGAGGCTTGACAACCATATGTCAGGAGTGCTCTGATGGTGTTTCTTGCTTGGCAGGGGGTTGGACTCGATGGCCCTTGTGGTCTCTTCCAACTCTATGATTCTATGATTCTATAAAAATACAGCTTTTGCAATAATGAACCTTTATCCTCCTCAGCTCATCCTAGGGGTGTGGCTCTGGAGGCTCCCTAAAGCACTGCATGTAGCATCCTTCGTAATGCCAGTACAGTGGTAGCTTGGTTTAAGAACAGCTTAGTTTATGAACAACTTGGATTAAGAATGCTGCAAACCTGGAAGTAGGTGTTTTGGTTTGTGAACTTTGTCTTAGAATAAGAACATGTTCCACTTCCTGTTGAGTGTGTTCCATTTGTAAATTGAGTCCCCCGCTACTATGGGAAAGCACGCCTTGGTTTAAGAACGCTTTGGTTTAAGAACGGACTTCCGGAACGGATTAAGTTTGTAAACCAAGGTACCACTGTACATCGAACAGGGTATGTGCTTGTGTTAGCCAGAACTGAAACCAAGAAAGGCTGGTCACCATTTCTTAAAATGCAGGGAGGAGAATACTGGCGCAAAGGAAGAGTAGCCCTAAGATGTGGGGAAATGGTAAAAAGTGTGTGGGAATCTAAAAGTGGGAGGTGCAGTCACTGAGAAGGCCTTCTCTTGGGTCCATTGACAGCACAGAATACCTGTCAGTGGGACTGCAAAGAGGGTGTCTCTTGTAGCAGCTGTAGTTTTGAAACCATCTTCATGGGTAGCATTCATTCAGGAACAGCTGGAAATAGGCACTCCTTGCCTCTGATGCCACCTAGGCCTCCAGAGACAGAGATGGATCAAGGAACACCCCAGACTATGTACCTGTTCCCTCAGGGGGAGTGTGACTCTGTCTATGGCAGGATGAGCACCCAGTTCCATCCCAGCATGGCGACAGAGAAGTACTCCTGCATAGCAGTGTAGGGCAAACCCAGATGCTGACTCATTGCCTTTAAAAGGTAAAGGGACCCCTGACCGTTAGGTCCAGTCACGGACAGCTCTAGGGTTGCAGCGCTCATCTCGCTTTACTGGCCGAGGGAGCTGGTGTACAGTTTCTGGGTCATGTGGCCAGTATGACTAAGCCGCTTCTGGCGAACCAGAGCAGCGCACGGAAACGCTGTTTACCTTCCGCCGGAGCGGTACCTATTTATCTACTTGCACTGCATGCTTTCGAACTGCTAGGTTGGCAGGAGCAGGGACCGAGCAATGGGAGCTCACCCCGTCACGGGGATTCGAACTGCCGACCTTCTGATCGGCAAGCCCTAGGCTCTGTGGTTTAACCCGCCTTTATCTGTTAATAAATCTTAATTCAATTGGCAGTTTTCAGAAGACGTTCCCTTTTGTTGCTGGGAATTTTCTGGGTGACCTCTGTGGCTGTCATTTTCCGATCTGCTCTGGAATGACTCACAAATGAAAGTAGGTTAATGCAGCACCCAAAGTCAGGGTGGTTCCCACTATCCAATCCCTTACTTTACCAGGGAAACAGGACTTTTTCAGGGGTTCCCAGAGTCGGAACTAAAACTGATGTGGTGACTTCTTGAATGAAGTCATTGCATTAGCTCAAGGACTTCTGCCCTTGAAATGGGATATCATCCTCTACTTATCTGCTGTAGAGAGTTAAACTAAACCCCAAACAGATATGGGGGGAGAGGAAAAGGAAAGGAAGTCCTGCTGCATAGATTACTTCCTCTAATTGGATAATTTTGTTGGATGCAGTCCCCAGTTCTGGTAATTCCTCTTTTGTGTTAACTAGCCACAGACACACCTCTGATAACAACAAAAGGAGGAGAAGCAGCAACATTGGAATAAGTTGTAGTGGCCTTTGGCCTTCCGTGTTCATTGATCAACATTCAGCACTAACAGGGTATAAAACCACAAAATATATAATCAAAATTAAAAAAAAACCCCAATAACCCCCCCAACATATGGTTGCCTTTAGGGGACCTTAGGGTTGTAAGGAAAACATTGGTCTTAATTTGATCAGTCCATGATCACTGCAGATGGTGACAGCAGTCACGAAATTAAAAGATGCCTGCTTCTTGGGAGAAAAGCAGTGACAAACCTAGACAGCATCTTAAAAAGCAGAGACATCACCTTGCCAACAAAGGTCCGTATAGTTAAAGCTATGGTTTTCCCAGTAGTGATGTATGGAAGTGAGAGCTGGACCATAAAGAAGGCTGATCGCCGTAGAATTGATGCTTTTGAATTATGGTGCTGGAGGAGACTCTTGAGAGTCCCATGGACTGCAAGAAGATCAAACTTATCCATTCTGAAGGAAATCAGCCCTGAGTGCTCACTGGAAGGACAGATCGTGAAGCTGAGGCTCCAATACTTTGGCCACCTCATGAGAAGAGAAGACTCCCTGTAAAAGATGGAGGGCACAAGGAGAAGGGGACAACAGAGGACGAGATGGTTGGATAGTGTTCTTGAAGCTACCAGCATGAGTTTGACCAAACTGCGGGAGGCAGTGGAAGACAGGAGTGCCTCACGTGCTCTGGTCCATGGGGTCACAAAGAGTCAGACACGACTAAACGACAACAAAAAATTGATCAGTCGAATGTTTGGTATCTGGTGGGCGGGGCTTGTGTGTTCTGCTCCGGAACTGGCCCCTCCCTTCAATGTGTTCCATTAAGAATGTCAGTTAAGAGCAGCGGTCAGCAAACTTTTCCAGCAGGGGGCCGGTCCACTGTCCCTCAGACATTGTGGGGGCCGGACTATTTTTTGGGGGGGAGAGGGGAATGAACAAATTCCTTTGCCCCACAAATAACCCAGAGATGCATTTTAAATAAAAGGACACATTCTACTCATGTAAAAACACGCTGATTCCCGGACCGTCCACGGGCCGGATTTAGAAGGCGATTGGGCCAGATCTGGCCCTTGGGCCTTAGTTTGCCTACCCATGGCTAAGAGGGACCAAATGCCTCTTGTTTTCTTGTCTCAGACTTGCCTCATGTTGTTGTATTTAGTTTCTCTCATCATGTCATTCTGTTACAGTTGCCTTCATTATTGAAACTTAGTTTACATTTATGTGAGCCACTTATTTTTCTAAAAGAAAAAAAAGAAACTCTGCTGAGGAAAGGTGTGGAATGTCCTAAATTACATTAGTCAGAGGATATTATTCCCAGTTTGCCAGGAGGATGGATTTTTGTTAATCATCCCTCCTCCCCGTTTCACAACAAGGGTAGGTAATAAATCAATCAACAATAACCCCAGAACTCTGGGACTTGCTTGCAGCTGACCTCTGTATTGTTATCAGAATTCAGGTTTTTCAAGAAGTCCTTCAAAACCCTGTTGCTCTCCTCAGTGGGTCATAACCACGAAACCATCAGCAGACAGTCTGATCATGTAGTATTGTTTTTCAATCTGGACTCCCAATTTGGTGGTGTTTTGAGGTGTATGGCTAATGGTTCTGAAGGTAGGAGGAACAGAAAGTGAGAGAGTGGAAACTCCCCTGTCAAATCCTCCCTGAGGATGAATTTACGTTGTCTTTTTTTAATGTGGGCTTCGGAGTGTGTTTCAAGATTTTCTTTGAATTTGTGACCAAATTTCATTTCAGACAGAAATGCCAGCATGCTGCCCTCTTCTAGGTGGTCAAAGGCCTTGAGGATGTCTAATACCATGACTAAAATGATGGCTTTGTTTAATTTTAAAGGCCCATCACCCAGTGGTGGAGCAACCTCTTTTCATGCAGAAGTCCCCAACATATTTAGGGCATTTTGGGAAAGACTCCAAACTTTCAATCTGTAGGCCGTGCTGAGCTGAGTGGGCCAATGACCTGACTTGGCGCCCGATACCTTCTTGTGTTCCTATGGGCATGAAATCCAGTGCTGGAAACAACCATTTTCCACTGAGGAGCTCTTAGAAGGCTTGGGGAAGAGAGTGAAAATTGGTGCGGTCATATTGTTTCTTTCTTTTTTCTTTTCTTTTTTTTAACTATAAATTCTTTATTGATTAAAAGATTTGCATGTCTATACAAACATTATGTACTCTTAAACAGGTTAAAAAACAGAAAATTATATAAAATAGAAAATTTATAAAGAAAAAGAAATAAAGAAGTGACAAAGATAAGAAACAAAGAAATCAATTTTTTAAAAAAAGACAAAGTTATTTACATAGTAAAAGTACTCATCAGCACATTCCCTCCCATCCTTCTCATTATACTGTTTCATATAACATTCTTTTTTACACAGGTTTACATTGTATCATATCAATTCTTTCTGCTTTGTATACATTCCTTTGATCTTTTTCTTTACAAATATCACTCAATTTCTGCTAATATGGAGTTATTTGTACAATGAAGTTTTACATAATTCTTAAATATTATCCATTCTCTAGTTGTTTTTTGTTTCGATATTCCTCTAACTGATCCCGTCAGTTTTGCTAATTGTAGATATTCTGACATGGGTATCTGCCAATCTGTAATCTCTGGGAGCGTTTCATTCTTCCAGTTCCTGGAAGGAACATATTGTTTCACTTACAAACCAAACCAAGCCTAGAGCAATGGGGCAATCTTTCTGAGGAACATCTGCTTCTCTCATCTTGAGGTTAATTCTATCCAACTCAGCTGGTTACCTGTATCGGTTGTGTTTCTCTGTCCAGTTTCCAATAGCTAAAGTTTCCTTTCTCTATCACATGATGTGTCTGCCTTGCCGTTTCCCCTTACAGCTGTGTTTGTAATCCCAGCAGTTTGAAAGCAGACTTTCTGCATAGAGGGACTGGTGGCACTTGCTCAGAAGAGGTGGTTGGTTTTCATAGTTTAGCAGATCCATTCGTTATGTTTGGTTATGGAAAACCAACCAGTTATGTTTGGTTGTGGGAAAGATTTAGCTTTACTGGATGACAGAGAAATGGTTATTTCTTTTTAAACTGATGCTCATGTATAATTTGTTGTAATTTGAAGGGGAGGGGGAAGGAACTTGATATCAGATGACTGGATATGGGAATGGTAAATTTTAAGCTAATCTAGTTAAGGTAGGTAGACAACAGGATAATATTTTTATTGAAAAGCTAAGTCTGTTGTCATGTATTGGTGGGGGTAAAAGAAAGCAAGAAAATGTTGAACCAGAGAGAGAGAGAGAGAGTGTACGCTGGATAAAAGGCAAATATAAAATTGCTAGGGATTGATCATATATATATATATATGTGTGTGTGTGTGTGTGTATGTACACACACACACACACACACACACACACACACACACACACACACACATATACACACACAGTCGTACCTTGCGACTTGATTGTTTTGGCTCCTGAAAGCCGCAAACACGGAAATGAGTGTTCCAGTTTGTGAACGTTCTTTGGAACCTAAATGTCCAACGCAGCTTCCGATTGGCTGCAGGAGCTTCCTGCAGTCATTCAGAAGCAGCGCCTTGGTTTCCAAAAGTTTTGGAAGTTGAATGGACTTCCGGAACGGATTCTGTTTGACTTCCGAGATGCCACTGTATATCAGTATTTCCCCCCCCCCCCAAAAAAGGAGGCTTTCTTTGAGAACGGTATGAAATGTGAAATTTCATTTCCATCTTGCACCATTTGAAAAAAGTTGGGGGGAGGGAAATAGCATGGAAGATCCGGGGATAAAGACATGTGTGTTATGACTATGTTCCTTCTGCTTCTCTTCTTTGGTGGGATTTGTGGAACCCAACCTCCTTGGTTAAACAACTGGAGAACGAAACATGCTCTTTAAATCCCCCCCCCCGACCCTTCCTGTATAAAAACAAAGACCACCACTACCAGATGTAGAAAACGCTGCATTCATAAGTCGTGCCCCACAAATAACAAAAGACCCTTTCACGGAGTGAGCAAGCACAAGTAACCTGGCGCCTGCTGGCGCTCCAGATGTGAGATTCCATTGTGTGCGAATGCCAGACTCTGGCCGTCCCTGCTTACTTTCTCCATCAGCAGCTGGAAAGTTTTACTCATTCACAACTCCCTGAAGGCAAAAATCCACAGCAGAAAAACAAGCCTTTGGTAGAAGAAACACTCTTGCTAGAGAAAGGCCTTAGCTCAGTGGGAGAGCAGAAAGATCCCAGGCAAGGCTAGGCAAGGAACCTCTGTTGCGGGTGTGTGTGCATGCAAACACTGCCCCGTCATTGCTGCATGTGTTGGCTTGCTGTCCCAGACTTCCCTTGTGTTATGCCATGTGTCTATTGTGAATGCTAGAAAACGATATGATAATCTTTATTGTCATTGTCCCATACAGAACAAGGAAATTGAAAAAAATCTACATCAGACATTCAAAAACCAACAAGCCTGCTACCTTAGCTATCCCAGCCTGGTTAACCCCCTAAAAACTCTGATACCCCATAATTAAATACAATATACTCCCATAGAGACTACCTTACACTGCATTTAAAACCAAAATCACATTTGGATAGAAACTGTTTTTCAGACGGCTAGTCCTAGTCTTTATAACCCTGTACCTTCTTCCAGGAGGCAGAAGCTGAAAGAGATCATATCCTGCACTATCTCTGCAGCTTTCTTATGGCACCTGGAAACATAGGTGGGAAGAGTGCACCCAGTTATTCTCTCTGCAGTCTTTACAACCCTGGACAGCATTGTTTTTCCCCTGACCTTGCAGCTCCCAAACCACACACAGAAACCATAAGTTAATACACTCTCAACAGTACAATGGTAAAATGCCATCAACATGTCTTTTGAGAGATTATGTACAGTATTGTTGTGAAGAACATGGGGAGAGAAATGATACAACACCAAAACCATTTAAAATATCTTCCTGTAAGCAGAAAGGGTTGCCTCTCCCTAGAAAGACTCAAATGCTCGATCAAATGTTTCTGCAACTATAAAGTGCCATTTTGGAAGCCCAGTATGCATTGGCAACATCTTTTGAGTTTTGCAGAAGTCTGTGTAGTTTTCTCTGCGTAGTTTTACAGAAGTCGCTCATGGACTTCTCAATTCAGTATTGAAGGCTTTGACCGCAATCAACAATGCGGTCCAAAGGTTGCAAGGTTCATTGTAACATTGGAGGAGTAGAGCCAATGTCAAGTCGCGGACTCCCTTGCAAGAAATAACAGGCGTATTTGAAGCAGTTCAGCAAGTGGCATCCGGAGCAGAGAGATGAGATGAGAACAGGGGAATGTGGGATTATTGGGAGGGAGCGTCAGTAATTGCAGCCTTCTGTACCATGGAGCCTTTACTACCGACATTTATACCCTACCATTCAGCGATAATTTGCATTCTCTTAGCTCGGGTCGGCAAAGTTTTTGTGGCTTGTGCCAGTTCACGGTCCCACAGACGCCGCAGTGGGCCGGAGTGTGTGTGTGCGCATGCATGTGCAAACGCTATTTCAGGCATTCCTTCCGGCGCAGAGGAGGCGTGCGCAGCTTCCCATTGGCTGCAGGAGCTTCCTGCAGCCAATGGGAAGCCGGCCAGCGCTGTGGAAGGCAGTCCCCACTCTGCTCCGCGCTGGTTTAGTGTGGCGCACGGGAGCTGACAGAGTGGGCAGCGGGGGTCCATGGGCCGGTTAAATGACCCCCATGGGCCGTATGTGGCCTATGGGCCTTAGGTTGCTGACCCCTGTCTGAGCTAGTCTATATACATGATTGCAGCTCTAGTGACTTTTTAGTCTTGGCTGTTCCTGTGTAAGATTGCCCAGGCTAGCTTAGTAAAACCTTTGCTCTTTTTAGTTGTGCTATAAAAAGCATAGAAGGGAAATCTGTTCCATTCCCTTAACTACCTAATCTGAAAGAACATCATAATCCATAGCAATGAACTGGTTACCGGTTGAGGAAGGCTCCTCTATAACTGTGTGTATTTGTCCATGATGTGATGTAGAAGAAATGGAAAGAAAAAAAGGAATTCAACGCACAAATTTCTTATCGGGGCAAAAGCACTGGAAATACAGTGGAAATAAGGCAAAAGGATTTGGTGTTCAAAACCCTGACACTGACAGTAGGGAGGAAATGATTCATATGGAAAGAGGAAGTCTTGAAAGCAACAATGCTGAAAGAGAAGCGCAAGGCCAATGGTGGATGGCAATAATAGGAAAATATCTGTCTGGGAAGAAGGCATTGAGGAAAATACGTACACATTTTGAGTCCTTGATTTCTGTGCTGTCTTGAGATAAGTCAGACTGTAAAAAGACCTTTTACCATTTCATAATGTGGAGGCTTGATTAATGTACTATGGCATGAATTGGATATTGTGGAACTATATTTTAGATACTACTGGAAGTGGCCACTTTCATGGAGTGATTTATATTTGGACTGACTGAGTAAAACTTAGTTGAATGCCACCATAAGTGTGAATTTTCAGGGCGCAGTTCTACATTTAAAGTTTGGGGTGCAGGGGTGAAGCTGGGAATCTTGGCTTATGCATTTACAACTTCACTTTCCATCTGAAGTCTGAATGCGTGTTTTGACCCTTGCGCTCGATTTTGAGGGGTTGGGAATGTGTTTTGTTCAGACACAGGGAGGCCACACCAACACCATACATTTAAAGCACTCGGCTTTCCTCAGAGACTCATGGAACCTGTCACAGAGCAACCACTTTCCAGCACCCTCAACAAACTACAGTTCCCAGGATTCTCTGGGAGAAGCCATGTGCTTTAAATGTATGGTATGAATGTGACCAGAGTTAGTTGTCTGCTAGTTGTTCACTGCCTCCATTCCTTCAGATTTGGAGGAACCCTGTTTTGGGCCTGGGTCTAGAGTCCTGCTAGAGGAATGGCTGTAACTCTGATAATAACCTTTATACTGCCACAATCATGAGTCTGATTTTGGTGTTGTTTTTTTAAGGAATATGATATGCTTCCCACAGTCCTTTGGTTGGCAACTGTGAGAGCAGGATGTTGGGTTAGTTAAGCCATTGGCCTCATCCAGGACTGTGGTGCTGATGTGTTTTGGGGGAATACTCTGAGAATGTGTACTGTACATAATACAGTGGTACCTCGGGTTACATACGCTTCAGGTTACATACGCTTCAGGTTACAGACTCCGCTAACCCAGAAATAGTGCTTCAGGTTAAGAACTTTGCTTCAGGATGAGAACAGAAATCGGGCTCCGGCGGCGCAGCGGCAGCAGGAGGCCCCATTAGCTAAAGTGGTGCTTCACGTTAAGAACAGTTTCAGGTTAAGTACGGCGCTCTGGAACGAATTAAGTACTTCACCCAAGGTACCACTGTATGATAGTCCTACTTATCTGGGAGTGAGTCTCATAGAACTCTATGGGATCTGCCTCTAGGTAGTTATGCATAGATAGTGTGCAGTAAGAGTATGTTGCTGTGTTCAGTTCAGGCCAGATAAGTTTGTCTAAACTGTGGGTGTCACCCCTTTCCATATCAATATTGTTCTTAATATCGTAATGCTTCTGGGGTTGCCGGTGTCTGACTCCGTGACAACTTGACGTTTTGCAACTGTAGAACTAATTTGGAAGTTGTTTAGAAAATAGAGCAGCATGCCAACGTATCGTAGTAGCACCTGAGTTGTAGATGAAATATTAAAGATGCATTGTTGCGGCAGGTGTTCTAAAAGCAGGCATGGAATTAAAATTGATGCTGCTGGGAATGAGCGGGGGAGAGCGAGAGAGCCAACCCTGATTAGCAACATAAAGGGTGTTTTTCAGTTTCAGGTTTGTGCTAATTATATAACATGTGATTTTCAGTATTGGTGAGAGAATAAACATCTGTAACTCTGGGCCCTGCTTCCCACTCTCCTCTCACGGCACAGGCAGAGACAGTTGTGGTGGCTGTATTCCCACTGTGGTGGTAAACCTGCGTGTAGCCTGTACCACTTCAAATACTAGAGGCAAGCATGTTTGATGGAGAGCTCTTCCCAGCATATGCCTTTGCAGAGTTTTTGGGATGCTGATCTGTATTTATAGTTTTTATTATTAAAATGAATGAACTTTATTACGGTCACAGACCAGGATAAATTCATTTTTATTATTAAAATCATCTGTAAAACTACCCAGTGGATTAAAGCACACTGCACATTTAAAGCAACCCCACCCCTCAAAAAATATATATTGGGAACTGTAGTTTAAGGGTGCTGGGAATTAGATCGGTAAATGGTAAACTACAGCTCTTAGGATGTTTTGAGGACTTATGCTTTAAATGTATGGAATGCATGCAACCTTAATTGATCATAGAACTGTAGAGTTCGAAGGGGCCGTGAGGGTCATCTAGTCCAACCCTCTGCAATGCAGGGATCTCAGCTAAAGCATCCATGTTAGATGGCAGTATATAAATGTAATAATGACAATAAAATCAGCATGTTGCGGTAGAAGAGTTGTAATAGTCTACTCTTTCCCCTGACATGCAAGCTTTACATTTGTAGGCATGTTCAAGTTATTTTTCCACCCATCCCAAGTCTGTAATGGTGGAGGCCCCAAACAGGCTCATCACCTCAGTGAGAACTGGGATCAGTGCAGCAATAAGTATAGCATTTATGCTGGTCCTGATGCTAAAGAATCTATTGTTAGTACCATGGGGAGTTACCTGCCCCTGGTAAGTCTTCAATTGTATGACAGGCAGAAATTCTCCGGTACAGCCCCCTTGCATTTCATATCTCTCAAAAAAACCTGCTGCCTTTGCAAAGCATAATGCTCATGTGAGTTGCTTTGGCCTTCCACTTTGCTCCAGAATTCCTTATCTAGTTCTCCTGGAAGAAGGAAGTTTTTACATTCTTAACAGTCTTTATTTAGATGGTGATTGGCATTCCTCGGTTCACAAACGAACTTTGGTCTAGGGTAAAAAAACAAAAGCAACCCATGAAGCACTGTCTCATGGAATGAATACAAAAACGTAAATCACAGAGCTAGCTGATTTATAACAGAGGCTCCTCTAAGTGGAAAACCACCTACTCGAACAGCGCTGCCAATCAGGGTTGCTTTTCTGCAAATGTATGCAGTTCTTCAGATTTAGGAAACAAATGATTTCACCTTTTGCCAGAATGTGGTGCTATGTGTGCGCATGGACACACTTCCATGTGCAACTGAGTAATCTCATCTCCTTTTCCGGTTTGAGAAGAAGCTTGTGGCTGTGCTTCTCATCCAAAAAGAATTGTTGATGTGATTCTCGATGGTGGTTGGGCAGACTAAAATACTTCTCTCAGTTTGTGGCGGGGAATCTGTGTCACTCGTAGATGACACAATTATGCTTTGATCCAGAGATACCTTGCATGAGTGGAAAACCCCTTCTGCTTTTATACAACTGACACCCTGTGTGCCCATAATATGCTATTCCTGACGGTCTCTTGATTCTGAGGGGTAGCTTCTCCAGCCTTTCTAATATTGGATAGCTTCAGCATACTCAGGAATCAAAAACTTTGTGTCTCATTTGGGGGAAGTGTATATTTTTTTATGCATTCTGCAACCTCCATTTCCTGGAAAGCTGAATTGTGCAAGCAGGGTTCTTACATCTACCTCTGGATTCAACTCTTTGCATGACTTCATTGAGGAGTGTGAGCAGATTATAGTTTGGAGGTGGTGGCGGCTATGGTTAAATCCTACACTTCCTCTAAGAGGCTCAGTGTGACAAATGTTTGCAAACTGTAGTTAGTCTTAACTATGGTTTAATGAAACAAGCCAGGTTGGGACAGAGCGCTAAACTGCAGCTAAAAATAGAAGTGTAAATTTCTGGTTGTCTCCTAAGGGAGGGGGAATGAATGAGCCCAAGGCTCATTCCTGTAACAATAAACAATAGTTTATCACTGGCCACATTCACACGCAACACTCAGCCAAACCATGGTTTTGCAGAAACACAGTGTCTCCTGGGAAGGTGATTGCAGGTGCTTTGCTCCTCCTTGGTTCTTTTAGAGCAAGCCTTGTACTTGCTTATACATCATGATTAAGGAGGAGAGAGCTGAACCACAATCCCAGGTTCGTACAAAGTGTCAAGCCATGCTTTGGCTTGACTGATGTGCTGAGCTAACAGGACTGGTGAGATGCAAAGCAACTACAAATTCCTCTCCAAGAGCCTGCATGGTCACAGGAAAGCATAGCTTGGCTTAGCTCACCTGGTTTGCAAGTCAGTCAGTTTAAATGCAAGCAATAAGTGAAAATGGCAAAATAGTATTTCGGTCAACTCTTGGCCATTTAATGTGCTATTCATATGCTGCTCAACATGCATTAAACCCAAGTTGGCCCATAACACACAAGTTGTGTAGTGATGCAGTTTTGAATGGTCAAGGTCAGCAAAAATCCCTGAGCTTGCCTTGATTTGACTAGCATAAATAAGCCTGTGCATGTCTGTGCAGAATTTAGTGGGGACTTACTCCCAATTAAGTGTGTGTGGGATTGCAGCCTTCATAGTAAGTGAAAGAAATTCACCTTTCTCAAGGGTCTGGCAACATGACTAACAAAATACTTCTTGAAATATGAGCCTCAGGAAGAAACACATTTAGAAAACAAGCTTAATTAGATGCACATGTTTACTGCCACCCAATCTCCTGTGCCAAACTCCTAAATATTACAGACTTTCCAGGTTCATCACACAGCAGGTTTCATTACCAAGCGAGGCAGATTTTTATTTACTCCTTTCTTGTCTATCCCCAGCACTCGCGGTTGACTCTCACATTCAGGCAAGGCCATATAGGGCTAAGAATTGCTTATCTTCAGGAACAGAGCTGAGCTGTGTGCCTTCAGACTCTTCTCTGGAAACCCAATGCATGCTTCTCTCTGAAAGAAATCCCACTGTGGATGCTGAAACTCCAACATTTAGGATTACAGTGTCATGTATTTTGAGAAGTACAAGCAAGCTTTTGGTATTGAGGTGACTTCACACAACACACCAGCGGTCTTTTTATATTATAAGGAGGTGGAGAATGTACCTGGGAGGGTGTGATGTTACTCCTTTTTGAAAGTATTTGACATGCAGTCTCTGTTGGGGTGTTGCTTGCAGCTTACGCAGTACATTTTTCACATTCTCCTCTCTTGTGGAGTAGAGTGAGCAGAACTAACTGGAACCTTGCAAGCTAGAGAAAAAGAAAGAGCCTGTGTGCCTATCAGGAATAGTAAACATTATTATTATTTATTACTGTTTATTAAATTTATACATCACCATTCACCTGAAGATCACAGGGAAGATCACAACATAAAAATACAAAATGAGAACACAAAATGCAGAATAGAACAACAACAAAAACAAACCAATGACCCCCCTCCCACAAAACACATTTAAAAGGCCATAGAACATTCATCAGCCAAAGGCCTGGTTACAGAGAAGCATTTTCTCCTGACGCCTAAAGATATGTAGTGAAGACGCCAGGCAAGCCTCTCTGGGGAAAGGATCCCACTAAAAGGGAGTCACTGCAGAAAAGGCCCGTTCTCTTGTTGCCACCCTCCAGACCTTTCACGGAGGAAACACACAAAGAAGGGCCTCAGATGATGCTTTCAGGGTATGGGTTGGTTCATATGAGGAGAGGCGGTCCTTAAGGTATTGCAGTCCTGAGTTCCTTGTTGGTATTCATAATCAAATAATGTGTTGGGGCTTTCTTCTGAACTTGCACCCACTCCTCCCCAACCTCAAATCTCTGTTTTTCACAGTGCAGGGCAGGAAGTTCATAAAGTTCATTTGACAACATGACTTTCAAGTTGAGCTGGTACAAAGAAGCCTGGGAAATAGGCACTGTCTGCTCGCACTCTGGTTTTCAGGGGTTAACAGGTTAAATTTCTTGTACATCCAGTTCTTCTGGCTCTTCTCGCCAAGGTTTCAGGCAGGGAATCTTTCCCATCCCTACTTAGAGAGCTGGGGATTGAACCTGGGACCTTCTGCAGGCACATGAGATGCTCTGTCACTGAGACCATGGCCCTTCCTTGCCTTATATTAAAGGTAAAGGGACCCCTGACCATTAGGTCCAGTCATGGCCGACTCTGGGGTCGCGGCGCTCATCTCGCTTTATTGGCTGAGGGAGCTGGCGTACAGCTTCTGGGTCACATGGCCAGCATGACTAAGCCACTTCTGGCGAACCAGAGCAGCGCACGGAAATGCCGTTTACCTTCCGCCGGAGTGGTACCTATTTATCTACTTGCACTTTGACGTGCTTTCAAACTGCTAGGTTGGCAGGAACAGGGACCGAGCAACGGGAGCTCACCCCGTGGCGGGGATTCGAACCGCCAACCTTCTGATTGGCAAGTCCTAGGCTCTGTGGTTTAACCCACAGCGCCACCCATGTCCCATTGCCTTATATTAGGCTAGGCTATTTGTCCGTGACATGCACTCTTGACTAGCTGACTGGCCGCAGCTCTGCAGGGTCTCAAGCAGAGGTCTTCGCCATCACCTGGCAGTCACCTTTAACTGGCATCTCTGGAATTGAACTTTGGATTTTCTGCAAGCAGAGGAGGTGTTCAGCCACTGAGTTGTGGTCTGTCTTCAGCTGCTCTAGTGTGAGACTCCTGCCAGGGCCTTATCCTCTTATCTCCCTCCCAGCTTTCTTGCACCAATGATTTAGGAAACAAACTTTGTTAATATACCTTCCTCTTCACTACAAGTTTTCTCCCAGTCCCATCTCTGGCTGCATAATTAACCTGACTTCTGGGTAGCAAGCAATGTGGCTGGGAGCTTTGGAGAGCCATTTGAATTCCCCTGTACTAAGTACTGTCACTGGCCAGCGCACAACATTTTATGCTATATATAGCATGGCTTTTTGGTCTTCCTGGGTTGCGGAAGTGAGAAGGGAACCTTCTGGCAGTTCCTGAGTTCCTGTTTTAAATATGTCAGCTCATGCTGTTTCCCCTGCAACATTTCCCAAAACCATGGAATCACTGCTATAACTGGTCTGCTTAAATAGCTATGGAAGGCTAAGGTTGCTATAATTGGCATGTCTGAATTGTTGGTAGCAATACTTGTTTATTTTACAAAAAGACGGACCTACCATTATTTGTTCTCCCTGGGCCATCAGGTTTGTAGTAAATGTCACCCAATGAAATCATTATTAGAGTCAAAATAGTACTCCACAATTTGGATGTACTGCTCTATTAGGAATGGGCAAGATCCACCTTGCTGGCTTTCCACTAGACCACACCCCTCTCATTGGCCACACCCATTTCTCACTTTCTTCCTTGTATGCCTGCTACAGTCCTGGATTCTCAAGTGCTGAAATGTGAGACTAAAAAGCCCTTGCACTTATCAGTGCTTAAATTGCCCTAATGAAGTGCTCTGGCACGGTCACCAGTGCCCAGAAGATCTTGTTCACTTCCTGAAGTACTCCTGCCTCATCAGCTCCAATCATGCATATTTGGAAGTGCTCCAGCAGCCTCTCCTTTCTTCCAAGGCAATGTGAAATTTTTGAAGCAGATTGAAGTCCTCCTTCAAGGGAAGGGCTGCAGCTCAGTAGGAGAGCATCTGCTTTGTCTGCAGAAGGTCCCAGGTTCAGTCCCTGGCATCTGCAGTTACAACTGGGAATGTCCCCTGTCTGATTTCCTGAAGAGTCTCTGCCAGTCAGTGTAGGGAATGCAGAGTTATATGGAGCAATATTCTGACTCAAGGCAGCTTCTGATGGTCATATCTAAAGTTCACTGAAAAAGTGTTTTTTTTAGTGAGGGAATTTTGCACAAGTAGGAGTGAGGGAAGGTGGATTTAAATGAGGAAACTTGGATATCATATGTGTGTATGTGTGTAGATGGGGAAGAAAGCCTTGCTGGAATATGCACTTTTTGGTTAAGATGGGGGTTTTTGGGTGGGAACAAATGTAAATTTTTTATTGCTTTGTTCCCCACATTGAAATTGAATATACAGTTGTACCTTGGAAGTTGAACGGAATCTGTTCCGGAAGTCCGTTTGACTTCCAGAAGTTCTCCTAATACACTACAGTATGCAGTTTTGTCTAGCACATGCATTGTTGCAAAGCACATTTTCCCTGATAATATTCCCCCTAACATAATGCATTTTCCATGTTATTTTTGCTAATAATATGCATGCTTATCCATACTGAGTACATGCCTTTTTGCACATGTTATTTGGCTGGAGGACCTGCCTTGCAAAATTCAGAAATGGTTGTGTTTCTGTTGGCATATTGTTTCAGAAAGTGCAAATTACTGAAGGGTGGAATATATAAATGCCAGCTTAAAAAAAAATGCTCCCACTTTACTGTTCGTTGTAAAGTTAAAATTGATTCATTTCCTACTGTTGCTGTTCTTTCTACTTTTTGCTACTTTCAAGATCCTGAAAGAAAAACGGTAGTCTAGTGTTTTGTGTGTGCAAACAATTTTTTGATTACAGTTGCAGAATGGTAGTATTAGACTTCTTCAAAACATAAACTACAGATGTCAGAATATGCAAGGTTTCTGGGTCATCCAGTCTCTGTGTGTTTGTTTCTTCTATTTAAACAAAATCCAATTCAGGCCAAAGAGTCATAAGCGTTCCCCAGTTGTTTGGAAATGGTCTAGTCACCGTAGGCAGTTTTTAAAATAAAAATTCTCTATCCAGCTGTGTGGTGCTCTGTAATTAAAACATTCATAGGCAGCCTAAAATATTGGATGGGAAATCATGCAGTTATGGGGTTGTGTGTGTGTGTGTGTGTGTATGCCTGTTGTGAGGCATTCTTTTTTGCTGGAGGATACAATCAGTTTAAGTTTCTTCTGGAGACTAGCCAGCTCTCCCGCCCCAAGGAATGCATTCCTGTCTAGCCTAACAGACCAGTAATGAAAGGTGGAGTCCAAAATGTGGTCTAGGACTTTTACTCATTTTTTTCTTTCTTTCCCTGCTAAGGTTAGAGCAGGGAGCGGGGAGGCTTTTTCGGATGACTGGTTCCCCTACCCCTCACTTTTCCATTATTATTTTAAGACAACAAAATTGCCTGTCTGCCTTTAAAGTGGGTTTTGCTGTTGCATCTCCTTTGCATTGGGCCATTTAACCCATAGGTGGCCAACCCACAGGCTGCATCAGGCTCTTTTTATTGTGACCCTCATTTCCCTCCAAACTTGTCCTTTATTATTATTTTTTTAGCGACCATACCTATTTTGAGGTTTGACCATGGTTCAATGTGGCCCTTGGCCTGGAAAAAGGTTAACCACCCCAATCTAGCCCGATACTTGGGCAACGGCTCTCCAAAGCCCCAGCAGCCTTGGTGTGCCCTCAGATACCCCTCACCTGCCTGTTTTCTTTCTTACAACCAGACTAGGGAATAACACTGCTTGCCAGCTCTCCTCCTCCTTAGTCCCAGTGTCACCCTTGTAGAACTCAGCAGGGCAGAGGCTGGAGCAAAACTAGAAAGTAGTTGGCAGCGCTTGTCATTAGTTCTGGCTCAACCAACTGTTTGGCATCTCCACCTTCTGCCTCACCAGTCTCAATGGGCACCAGCCCCCACCGCTGAACTGCATCAGTGTTCACAGTTGGGCCATGATGGTCTTGCTCCTTGGTGGGAGGTCTGCAGGGACTTGAGGGGGAGAGCAGAAGAAGAGAGAGGCAGATGTTGTGAGCTGGAGAAGCCTCCTCTCATCCCAGGATGCATGACTAACCATGATATCACAGTGATTCTGGCCAGCACATAGACACTCCAGTGGTTTTTCCCTCCCTTCTTAACAGCCAACTGCATGTTCAGTCTGAACTAGAATCTGAATAAGCTTTTACTGATGTCATGGAGAAAGGCAACAGCTTGTTTATCTATCTGCCCTAAGGTGGAAAAAGAGGATAGCAAGAGCCATGTTGCTGGGCTCCTTAAGTGAGAACGTTCTGTGTTTGTTTGGTGATCCGTTTTTTAAAGCAGATTTGAAAGAGCCACTTGCCTGGTTGCCTTTGTCTAGTAAGGGTGGCAAAAAACTTAACAAAACTTCTTTTTTTTAAAAAATGAAGGACTTATGTGCAAGTGAATTTATGAGCAACACCATGTTTAAAGCTATGAGGTCCTGTCGGTTTTGCACTGTCAAGATGCTTGAATTATCTATCTCTCTTCTCCCCTGGCATCTTGGGAACCCCAGTTTGACTTGTCATTCCTTACCTGTGCCATTCATTTCCTTCCTTCCCTTGGTTCTCTATCCAACTTTTCCTGCCCAAGTGCAGACTAGAGACCATGCAATCCTCCAAACATTGGAGTTTGCCATACAAAGGCTAGCAGTAGTTAGCCAAATGTCACACATCACGCTGTGAGAGCTGCCAAGTGGAGTGACATGGAATACTGGAGTGAACTTTAAAATGTGAGTTGGAAGCCTGAATCTGCTATTTCAGCTGAGCCTTCTGATACCACGCCAGATCCCCAAGCATATCAATTATCTGAGCTAAGGGATAAATGATACATTTGCTATCCGCCAGTCAGCTCAAGAACCCTGATGTTCCAGCAGTGGCCACAGTCTTCCCATGGCTGAATCAAGCTATCTTTGTCTCAGATCGTAGTTAATGATATGAGCATTAGGCTTCACCCAATCTATCCTTTTCCTTTGTGTGTTTAAGTTTGCTCCCTCGGTTCTTGATATGGGGAAACCCCTAGTTTATCCAGTTTGCAACTTCAAGATTCCTGTTACTCACCCTGCTTAGGATTCTGGACTTGGACTGGAGAACCTTTCAGGTAGACAACTCCTTCAAATAGAGGACTGTCCTTGGCAGAATGCATGGCCACTCTAGCAAGGGGAGGAGGGGATTATAGAATCATAGAATTGTAGAGCTAGAAGGGGCCACGAGGATCATCTAGTCCAATCCTATGCAATGCAGGAATCTTTTTGCCCAATATGGGGCTTGAACCCACAAACATGAGATTAAGAGTCTCATATTCTACCAACTGAGGTATCACAGCCATAACATATGCTCCCGAGGCACAGTAACCTAGGTTTGTCCCAACTCCGTGTGTGTGTGTGTGAGAGAGAGAGAGAGAGAGAGAGAATGAATCGTGTGTGGTGGTGGTAGTAGATTGGAGACTAATAATAATAATAATTTATTATTTATACCCCGCCCATCTGGCTGAGTTTCCCCAGCCACTCTCCCAATCGAATGTTAAAAACAATACAGCATTAAATATTAAAAACTTCCCTAAACAGGGCTGCCTTCAGATGTCTTTTAAAAGGAAGATAGCTGCTTATTTCCTTCACATCTGAAGGGAGGGCGTTCCACAGGGCGGGCGCCACTACTGAGAAGGCCCTCTGTCTGGTTCCCTGTAACCTCACTTCTCACAATGAGGGAACCGCCAGAAGGCCCTCGGAGCTGGACCTCAGTGTCCGGGCTGAATGATGGGGGTGGAGATGCTCCTTCAGGTATACAGGACCGAGGCCTGACTTTATCTTTTTAGAAAATAAATGTATCTCTAGTTTCCACCATATGTTTCAAAGCAGCTTACAGAAAAAATAAAACATGTAATGTGCAAATTTGTAAAAAGCCTCCCATAGGAGGGATGGTGCCTGCTTGATTTCTAATGGGAGAGTGTTCCATAGTGTTGGGCCGCTACATCAGGGGTTGGCAAGGTCTACCTTGCCTGGGCTGGCTCACTCCAGCGGAGATCCCTCCGTGAGGCATCTGTGCATGCGCAGATGTGATTTCCAGCACTGTGGAAGCAAGTCCCCGTGCTGTGCCAGTTTAGTGCAGCACATGGGGACTCGCCAAGTGGGTGGCTCGTGGGCCGATTAAACGACCCCCATGGGCCGCTTGTAGCCCATGGGCCTTAGGTTGCCGACCCCTGCACTACATGATCACATTGGTCCTTGTCTTGCAGACATGAGTCATGCTCCCCCAGATGATGTCAGGACTAGAAATATATTTCAAATATTTAGTTGCCACTTACAAAAACTTAAGTATCTATCTATCTTTGATTATTCTTTAAGGCTTGATGATGGTTTACTTGCAGGTGGGAGATATCTACCCCCCCTCACTGAGGAGGAAAATGTCTTCCTTGTCTGGGTTTTTTCCCCCTCCTTACACATGGGACAAAGTAGATATGTTCAGCATAAGAACCTGCTGTTCATCTTGCCAGCTCCTTCGGAATTTTAAAAACTGGCATAATTTGTATAGTTACAGCAATAAAACATTTAACCCTAAACCGGAGAACAAATCATTATTGTGGTTGGATTAATTGCACATTGTATGATAAATTTGCCTATTCGGGATTCCTTTTCTAATACCCTGTAGTGCCATCTTTCAGATGACAAATTTGTGTGGCATGTTGTTTTGTCTACTCCCAACATGATATCATTGATGCCCTTTTTTGATTGTTTGTAGCCAGCTAATTTTATGATACTGGCAATAACCTCAGTTTATCCATTCTGCCTCCCCTTCTTGGATTCTGGCCTGCTGGGATGTAGGTGGTGTTCACAGTGTTAGTGGTTGATGGTCCCCTTTATGGATCAAGCATGAATCATTCAAGCTTCGTCCTCAGCAGTTTTAAGGTTAAAGGCTGTTCTGAGTCCCAAACAGCTCCGAAATACGACATAGTTGAATTTTCTGTCTTTTGCCAGTCCAGATGGCACATAGCAGATGCTCACTGTAACGTGGCTACCTCCATGAATACACACATAAGAAGGCAAAAACTACCCTGATTATAAATTAAAAGAAGATTGGCACCGCCCAGGGAAATAGCAGGAGACCTCGGAAAAGGTGCTACAGAAATTAACAACACTCAGCCACCTGATCATTCCCTGCTGCTGTTGCCTGAGGCCTGTTCTGATAGTTGGAGGGAGAAAGAGAGAACACTTGAGCACTGCTATGTGCTTACCTGGGGTGAGAAGGCCCAGGTTGGCCTGGTATGTGACAAAAGCCTTGATGAAAGGTGGAAGCACCCCCTTTTCAAGGCTTCCTCTTTCTAAAGTGTCCAAAATTTGATAGGCCAGCATAGTTTTATATTTTACTGGTCTTCTTTCTTATAATAGTGGTGCAATGCATGGGAAACATCAACAAGAAGCTTCCCCAGTCCATTTTATCTCTATACCTGGAAAATCCTTGCATGCTGAATTCCTGGTACAATGGTACCTCAGGTTACAGACGCTTCAGGTTACAGACTCCACTAACCCAGAAATAGTACCTCAGGTTAAGAACTTTGCTTCAGGATGAGAACAGAAATTGCGCGGCGGCAGTGGGAGGCCCCATTAGCTAAAGTGGTACCTCAGGTTGGACCTCCAGAACTAATTAAGTTCTTAACCTGAGGTATCGCTGTACCCAAAGCTTGCTGCTGAGAAAGCTCAAGAATAGGGGTGGGTTCTTTTTTTTGATTTTCATTTTTGCTAACCAAATGATAGAGATCATTCAAAGAGGACATAGGGACCTGTTTCAATAGGACTGGGCCATCTACCATCCTATATATACTTCTGCCTTCTCCAACCCTCCAGAACTTTTGGTTTGCAGCTCCTGTCAGCACTTATCAGCGTGATGGGAGTTGCAGTCCAGAGCATCGGAAGGGCATCAGGTTTGGGAAAGAATTCCAAGAGAGGGGGCAGGTGACAGTAGCGCCAGGTGTCCTCGTCTGAACCTTTTTCTCCTTCCATATGGCCTCCTTCCATTAAGTGATTTGTGGGAAGATTTTGATTGGCTTACACTGGTTAAGGTATTTTTATGTTGTGTGAAAGGATTTATATCCTGAAAAGTAGGATATTAGTTATAATTACGCAAAATAAAGAAATGGATGGCTATTAACACAGCAAAAGTGCTGCCCTGTATAAGTGTCACCCAGTGGTTATCCCTGTACAGTGGTACGTCAGGTTAAGTACTCCATTCGTTCCGGAGGTCCGTACTTAACCTGAAACTGTTCTTAACCTGAAGCACCACTTTAGCTAATGGGGCCTCCCACTGCAGCCGTGTCGCGGGAGCCCGATTTTTGTTCTCATCCTGAAGCAAAGTTCTTAACCTGAAGCACTATTTCTGGGTTAGCGGCGTCTGTAACCTGAAGCGTATGTAACCTGAAGTATATGTAACCTGAGGTACCACTGTAAATGAAACAGGACATACTTGCTCTAAATGTGTTGGAATAGGAAATCTGTTGTGGTTTTTCACAGCTCTGGTCAAAATGCCTTTGCATTTGGTGGATTTTATAATTTTGCAGGGTGGGGATTCCATAGCAGCATCGTGGATAGGTTCTCAAGTGTGCTTAGGCTGGGGATACCTAGATTTCAATCCCCATTTGCCCACAGAAAGATTCTTGGATGACCTTGGACAAGTGGGTGTCTCCCTTATTTCTGTCTCTTAGGTCTGCTGTGAGGATAAAGGGGAAGGGATGACTGTGCGTACCACCCTGTGTAGGGAGAGAAGGAAGGAGGGATGAAAATAATTACGCAATCTGCCTTTCCCCTCGTTCCTCATTGAGCAGTCTTTGCAAGGGGAGATGTCACAGGAAAGGAAGGGCTGATTTATCATTTTGTTCTGCTACTGAAATCAGTGCACAACAAAAGCATCCTAATAGTAAATAAATAAAATCACAAACATCTCAATCACAGTTGCAGCATGCTCTTCCTTAATACATCTTAGGGCCTCTCCAAACTCGTGGTGGTGGTGGTTTTTTTTGGGGGGGGGGAAGGGGCATATTCTGTAACATATCATTGATACAATAATAGTGGATTAGTGGTGGATTTATACTGGGCCATCCACACATCATTAGCTCAGTCGGTACAGCATGAGACTTAATTTCAGGGTCATGGGTTTGAGCCCTACATTGTGTGAAAGATTCCTGTATTGTAAGGGGTTGGACTAGATGGCCCTTGTGGTCCTTCCAGCTCTACAATTCTATGATTTTATGAACAAGAACTGAGCTTGTCCTACCTTGAAATAGTTGCAAGAACAAACAGCATTACAAGGGAGGTGGGTCACAATTTCCCAAAAGCACTGTGAGCACAAATCTTTATGAATGCACAATAAAAGGAATGTCTGGAGGGGCTGTTATTATTAAAAGTTGTTCAAAACAACTTAAAATAACTCTTAGTAAAGTTTTAATATCGCTGGTTGGCGGCAACAGACACTTCAGTTTTGATACTGAGGTGCCCGTACAGTTCTCACTTGATACACAATGCACACTGATGTGCCATTGAGTTGTGCAAGCTGCTCTGCCAACCGGTGGTGACGGCTGTGTTAGACAGCGCATGTGATCAGGAGTTGTCAACACCTGGTCATTCCACACCATATTCTTGATTTAAGTGGTGTGATATCGCATGCCATCCTGCCGCTCTCTGCGTTTGTGAATCCCGATGACATGAAGACATGGCCTTAATTTGTCGCACTTGAGGACAAACGAGCTGCTCTGCACGCGTTGGTTTGCTGCTAAATAAGATCAAACAGATAAGCTGGCTCCTTGGGATAAATAAACCCAGCAAGACTGGGCTAACCATTTTGCTAAAGTACTCTTTTGAGAGCAGAGCCTTAAGCTGGCTAAGGTAATTTTGACAGTGCTGAGGGCTTAATTAACCTGACTCGAGTCACTGGTAGTGAACTTGTCCTGTGTGATGTTTTTGGAACCGTTGCCATTTTCTCAGTTGTGTGGGAATCTTAAAATGTGAGTAATCTCCTTGGTGAGTAGCTAATTTTACGGAAGCAGAAGGCAGCTTGCAGAATCTTGCCCTTCTCCTCTCCGCCCTGCAAAAGCTGCTCCAGAGGAGGGTTCAAGGGACCTACCAAACACTGTGGCCTGGGGCTGCAGTCAGATGGGGGCATTGCCTGAAATTGGGCAGTGGGATCTTTCAATGTTTGGCCAAGTTGCCTGAGGTTGGGTAATTTCCCTCGTCTCACTGGAGCCTGTAAGACTTAGCTGACAAATGTTCAGTAGGTTGCTGTCCCTCTTTCCCTCCCACCTTCAGAGAGGCTTTGACCTTTGATCTCTGCACCAGGACAGATCTCAGGAGTTTAACAGGGCAAGGTGGAGTGAGGAGGGGCAGAGATTGGAATGCGCTGAAGAGGAGAGAGATAATGCGGAGCCACAGAACATAAATTCTACACTTGGACCTCACATCTTCTTAATCTAGCACTGTTCTTGAGTATCAATTAGCCATAAAACTATTTAAAGGTAATTATTTCGTCAGCGGCTTTCCCAGTATTATAGGACTATTAAAACCTTGCAAACATCCCCCCCTCCCTTCACTCAAAGGTGAAGCGCAAAGTGATAATCGCAAAAGAATCTTAATGTGCCTGTACTTGCTAAGTTGTGGAACAGTTTTTGCTGTGTCTTCTCCCTTGCGCAAAGAAATCAGGGTTGGTAGGTCTAGTGTGCTGTGTTGGAGCAAGCCAATGATGCTTATCGATTTGAGCTTGTGCAAAAGTGGAGGGGTGATACCGGATGGTGGTCCTGCTAGATAGATCAAGTGGTAATAAAACGGCTACTTTTGGTACAGAAATACCTTGCTTTTACTGACAGGCTGCAATGACAATTCCAGGCGGAAAGTTTCCAGCTTATGGTAATGCAAACATAAGAAATGGAATATAATGGGAAGTACCTTGTGAAGAGGTAACTACAAAATTCAGCTTTTTGGCTATCTACACAATAGCACTGTAAGTTCGGATAGTATTAGGGATGAGTTGATACCCCCAGTTTTACTCTTGTAATAGTTCCACTGCAGCAGCTATTGCACTGTGCATTTTGTTGCACTCTGGTTGTCAGAAAAGGAGAATGTTGGAATGCTGATGACAGATTTTGTAAATATGTAAAGTGAGGGGAAAGACCCTGCTTTCTTGGAGGAAGAAAATGCCTCATTCCCTTTATTTCCAGTGCTTAGTTGTAAATATGTTTGCTTAACCATAAATACCCATACACAAGCGATATGTATCAATGGGCTTGGGGAAAACCTGAAGTTTGCAGAAGTATAAAATGAAAAAAACATTTAGTTCAAAAAGATCTTTAGAAACAAAACCCTAAAAGCTGGGGGCACCCTCCTCAGAGTCCATTGATGGGACTCTGATTGGGGTGATGCTCTGATGAGCATGCTCAGTGGGTACAGAATCCTGGCTGGCAAGGGGGCAGAAACAGAAAACAAAGTGGAGGGGAGGGTACAACATAGAGGAGGTCATGACTGGTTTTAACAATGAACAAGAGCACTCAACACTGCAACATTTGTATGCATGCATTTTGCCTTTTTGCAATACTCCGTCGCAAAGTGTAATAAAAAAGGGAAAGTATGCAGATTCTTTCCTGATTTCAGAAGATAGCTACAAACTTTTGATAGATGTCAGTATTTATGTATGTTTGTAGATGCTTCTTGTTGGTGGTGGATAGTTACATTGCTTTCTCTGTTTTCCTTTTAAAAATTTGCCACTGCCCATGGTGGCAGTGAGTTTTCGAGGGCAGAGGTAGCCTTAATTTCTCCTTCCAAAATGCCCCTGGGGTGATGGAGGCATAGCGTCTGCTGGCTACACCAAAGAGATCTATTTCCACCGCGAGTGGCTGGGCAAACCATTCAAAGTCTACCCTGAAATAGACCGTTTTTGACCATACCAAAATTGATGCATTCTCATCCCCATCCACCCTCCTCTGCAAAATTTTCTACTTGTCAGTGGGTGTTGAATTCTGGAGAGGGGGCGTTTCATCTTGACATTACCTCTTGATGCTGCTGTCTGCAATTCTGCAGCACAGCTGTTCTCCCTGAGTATCTATTTGGTCAAGCAGCAATAAACACAGAGTGCACCCTTCGTGCGGATTGTGGGCGTTGGACTCCTTGGGGGGTAAACACTGTCATGTGCAAATGTTGGGTGAAGTCATCTTATGCACGCAGAAGCAAGCACACACCCAACTCAAAACTGAGTGTACCACATATTTCTAAATGACCTTCTTTGCTGTAATGCTCTCAAGAGTGTAATGTAGGAACACGGAAGGGACCAGAAGCCAATCGAGGCGAGATGCAGAAAAATGTACATGAGCATGTTCTGGCCTCAACATGTTAGGCTAAATTCATATCCACTACACAATTTCCTGTGAATCCATCTTTAGATTTTAACTTGAGCAGGCAAACAACTTGTAAATGCAGGTAACCGAATGCTCTGTGGAAGGAAGATTAAATGCCTGAATCTGACCAAGTTAAGGTAGAGACAGGAGGGGTGATTTGAGAGTGGAACAGTTTTGGGGGAAACATTTCCTTGATAATGTGGTGGATCCAGAATACTGTCATGGACCCCAGATTTTCAGATAGCCAAGTGGAAAGAAGTCAAATTAAAACAGGTGGGAATCCAGGACATCCCCATCCCCATTATGCTGGTGACCTGTCAGCCTTCCAACATTAAGAGTTAGATCTGTAAGCAGGCTAGAAAACCTAGCAAAGGGTATTCCCGAAGGGATTTAGTTCCACCCAGACGTGATGTGAAGCTTAAGTTTTGCATGATTCATATATTTCTACCATGCACACCCCATCCATGACCTGAGTCCTTTTGAGAAGTGGGTGGGTAGAGCCTGGAATCTCACCAAAATGAAATGGATAGTGGATGACATTAGCTAGCTAGTTAGCTATGTAGGGAATGAAAGCCTGCTAGAACACATACTCTCTGTGTGAACGTAGATACCATTATGAATGGCATGTCCAGTTGGTAAAAAAAGTTTGAATGTAAAACAAAACAACAACCCCCAAACCATGGTTTTGCAATCAAAAGTCAACAACCCAGGATCAAGCTTTGAGTTGGGGAGGGAATCAGGAGGTTGACCCTGGTACAAGGTCTGGGATGGGGGAAAGTGCAGGGTTCTGGCAGCAACAGACTTTGGCTTGGCTACCAAGGCCAACAGAAAATTGTAGACTCCTGACCTCATCAGTCTAACTCAGCAGGTAGGACATTCACCCAGCACTTGGGCACATGGATTGTTGGCTGAAGCATGGACATGATGGGTGGTGCACCCAAATTTAAGACTTGTGTGTGAGTTGCAGACCCAGATGGGGAGTTGCTGGTAAAAACTTGGGCCCCTGTGACCCTAGGGTGCTGGTGCTGAACGTGACAGAGGCAGTAGGAGGTAAGTGGGGCATCTGGAGCAGGTGGGTCTGGTCTGACAATTCAGTTCTAGACACTTGCCTACCTCACACTCACTGTGCTGTTGCTGACACCCTGACTTAGTGGGCTACAGGCATGAAGACCAGCAAATGTATTTCAGCTCATACTAGACTGGCGCTATCTAAAAATAATAGAATGTGACTTGTGGCATAGTTGCCAAAAAAAGCTTGGGTCCTCTGCCTTGATAATTTTATAGTTTCATCCTAAAATAACAGCTGTTAAACTGGTTTTATTGCAAAGAACAAGGCAGTTCCTGATTGTGATCTGTGTTCTTTGTAGCTCTACAAATAACTAGGTATTGGTTTTAAGACATTTTAACAAGTGGGACCTGTAGCATTTGTTCTTCCAACTTAGCCATTCAGTCTGGATTCAGTTGGTTTTTTCACTCCCAATATTATTTTCTACTTATGCAAATCTTTTAGTCCTCCCAACAAGCCTGTGGATACCTCTTCTTGTGCATGGATGGTGGTGTTTTAAGTTAGGTAAGGGAGAACGGAGGACACTCTTATTATTTAGGATATGATGCTTAGTACCTAAATAGAGTAAAGTAGGTCAGGTTCTGGTTTGTCCTCCATTTCCCAGTGCCAGGCAGACATCCTGTTGCTGCTGGTATTCCATCAACAACTTTTGTTTCTAGACGCCTTTCAGGGTGCTCTGAGCTGCTTTGAGGATTTCATGCAGAGAAGCTGAGAGTTAACTGAAGTGTGGGCCTCGGCCTCCCCTACAGCGGTTCTTGCAATCAGACATAAATAGCCTCTTATGCCAGCGGCAGGCTCCATGAAAGGAATGTTTTGTCTGAAAGGCGTGGTATGTGGCCGGACAGACTGAGCTGCTGCTGGAGGCTCCAGCTGGGGCATGGCCAAGTTGTCCTTTTAAAAGCCTTGGTTCCCCCCTCCCCTTCTTCATATTGAAGTTCCAAGGATCGGAATTCCATTTTTCTGCATTATTATAAGCTTCAGCACATCAGCGGGGTTGGGCATGCGGGTGGCAAAACCTGATAATGACTTAAATAAAAGAAAACGCTCCCACTTTATGAGGAACATCATCTGTCCTTTTCTGTGCGCATTGAACTGGTACATGTCTGGTGCAGTGTAACCCCCAGCATGCATTGATTTGGCTGGCAGAATTCACATTTCCTTTACTTTCCTAGGTTCCTGGTTCTTCTTTCCTCCACTCCTTTTCCCAAGTACAGGTTGGGTGCTTTTTCCTTTGCTACAACTACATTAGGATTGTTGGAGGCAGTTTCACTTCAGAGTGACCTGGACTTTAAACTCTGGCTTGAGGTCATCAAGACCTTCATACTGGGGCATCAAACTGACACTGGAGTTTGCTTAGTGCTTCAAGGACATGTTCAAGCTGGAAACTGCTGCATTTACCATGGGCTTAGGCTGTGTACAAACCATACAATTAAAGCACATGGCTTCCTCCAGTAAACCGTGGGAATGGTAGTTCACCCCTTGCAGAACCAAAATGCCCAGCATCAGTAACAAACTACAGTTCCCAGGAGTCTTTTGTAGAAGTCGCATGCTTTCAATGTCAATGTTTACAGCCTGAAATGGTTTTTAAAATAACTTGCATCTAGCTAGCTTGTTGCCTCGTTTTAGTTGGATGTTCTTCCTCTCCCGGACACTGTAAAAGGTGTTCACTGAAATGCAGGGTGTGTATCCTGGATTGTCCCCATTAGCAATGTCTCCTGATGCTAATGTGCTCATTAGTTGCCCTGCTTGTATTTGCACCAACAGGTCCTGCATATGTATGATAACCCTAAATGAATGACACTAACACTGATGGATGACTGTTGTGAGGATGCAAACCGTCCAAGAACCACAAATGAAATTGCTGCCCAGGATTTGGCACTGAGCGACTGGAGGGCCCCAAATGGTCAAAAGACTCTGATGCTTATCACTTTATTTGTTTGCCAGTGTTTGTTATTTTGGTGAATGCCTTTATGTCGCAGTGAAAGGACATCCTCAGTATTCTTTTTTCCTTTTCTCTTTCTCACAGCATTTCACTGAACTCCTCGATGAGTTTTCCCAGGACGTTTTGGGGCAGCTCTTGAACGACCCCTTTCTGTCCGACAAAGATGAGATAATGGAAGTGGAGCTGTCACCTGCTTCTCCCGCTCCCCTCATCCAAGCAGAGCACAGCTACTCTCTTTGTGGTGACTCACGGCCACAGTCCCCACTAACCCACATTTCAGCCGATGATAACTTCAATGAAGGTATGGGTTAATGAGTTTTGGACTTGAAAAAAGAGTTTTTACAGTCTGGGATATTCTAGTTGGTTGTGTTTCCATGGGAGCTTATTTTTCAGGCGATCTTTGAATTTTCTGAATGGCTAGGAAATACCTGAAAGGGGGCTCCTCTCCCTGCCTTCCTAAGATATGGTGTACTCTAGATTTCTCTGTGTCAAGGCTAATAATAGAATCTTCCATTTGAGTTGGTCAAGTGAGACTGACCAAGAGAACTGAGTTTGGCCTTTGTAAGTAATTGTTTTGAGGTGTTGGCTGCCTCTCTGGAGATCTGATGTGGAGTTGGTGATCAACTGGAGTGTTTACGCTCTACTTCCACCTCTTCTCAACCTGTATATTTGTAAATAATTTCAAATACACACAGGTCCCTCTTTTCAAACACAATGTGCTCCCAGGAAATTGTTTGTTAGGCAAACTTTCGCATCATTTCATGATGGTTTCCATTATTGCCTAAGGGGACATTTTCATCCATGCTTTCTGCCTGAAACTTCTGCAGCCAATTTGCAAAGGCCAAGAAAGGGAAATGTCAGAGCTCTCCTGCTCCCTGATTTTCCGCTCTCTCTCTTTCCCTCCATGCTTTCTGTCGGAAATGTCTGCCATTGACCAGCAAAACACAAGCAAGTAAGGAAGTGAGCGAACTGGCTGTTCAGATATCTAAATCAGCCACTTGTGTAACAAGGTTTGGGTATAATTCTTTGTTTTTCAAGAGCAAGCGTTCCTATAGCAGGACCTGCCAAAAAACCTGCTCTGACTTCCTTCCAAAGGAAACTAAACCCAGGTAAGCACTGTGATCCCAGAACTTCTCTCTGCTCAAAGAAGTAGGGTGAAGGAGAGTTGAGAAACTACTTCTAGAATTGTGCATTTTGGAGACTAGAATGTTAGGCGAGGTGCCTCTTTTGTCCCTGCATGAGTCCCTGCATATATGGTTTTTCTGCCCTACTGCCAAATGATTTTTCACAGAGGAGATTCATGTTTCCTATCCTTGAATATGGTTTAACCGAGCCTTCCCCAACCCCCCCAGTTGCCTTGGACAACTGTGCTGTGATGACTGTGGCTGATGAGAGTGGTAGTTCAAAACATCTGGAGGGAACTCGGTTAGGGAAGGCTCACTGAATGCATATTGAATTGGTGAGCAGACCTATATTTGCATTTTTTAAAAAGATGGATCTGCGCTCTCTCTCTCTCTCTCTCTCTCTCTCTGTGTGTGTGTGTTTGCTATATAGGTGTCCCAGTCTTCTCTGAAAGGTGACTTGCAAAATAAGGCAGAGTGAAGGTGTGCAAATTCAAACTAAGTGAAGTTAAGATGCAAGTTCGTTTTTAAGATGCAAGTATCTGAAAGGATACTGCAATGGAGTCTGCTCAGGTGCATTTTGAGAGTCACAGATTAAAAAGGCAGATGGAAAGGGATGAGCTAGATAGGAAGGAATATGAAATATTACAGGAAAGGAGATTGAACAGAATTTGCAGGTGGTCTCCTGCAGTTCTGTGGCCTTTGTCAACTCCTGTGAATTAGTATACAAGTGTGAAAACCAGCCGTATGTGCTGCTAAAAACCATCTCAGAGCAGCTTTATATAACAGTAACTGTCAGCTATCATACTTGCCAGAATTCCAAGTGGTAATTCACGACTTGTATTTTGTTTCTTGAATGATCAAGTACATGCGATATCTATATCCAACACGTTTCTAACATAAGGATTCTTTTAAGTGACATGAAAATGAAGCCTGAACATTGAAGGGTGCAAACTGCAACTATCATAATTCTTTTTATATACCTCTTTCAGGCAGCCATGTCTTGAATACCACATACAGCTCTAGCTGTCTCTTTTGAAAAGGGTATCATAGGTCTCAGTGGCATAGCGTGGGTTCCAGCACCCAGAGTAAGAGCAAGAAACCCAGATGGGCGGGATATAAATAATAAATTATTATTATTATTATTATTATTATTATTATTATTAAGTGTCCCTCATAACCATCCACTAATAGGCTGCAACGAAGGGGCAATAGCTTAGCGACCTACTATTTTCTATTTTTTTCCTTTAGAAATGTTTGCACCCCTCAGAATTTTGCACCCAGGGCAGCCGCCCCTGTGGTCGTGCCACTGGTAGATCTAGACAAAGATTGAGACAATGGAAGCTGACATGATAAGGGCCTGGAGCATCTTTCTGTCAAGGAAATACTTGCAAGGAGGCTTCTTAAGTTTAGGAGACGATTGCTTGGATGGCAAGGCTGGAGGTGGTGAGAGGAGATGAAGGCCAGACCTATGCAATAGAAGAGACCCTGTCTTGGGCTCCAGCCAGTCTAGCATGTGAAACTGGTGGGGTCAATGTTGAATGTAGCAGACAGGCAGGATCGTGTGAGGTAGAATGAGGATGTTCTTCAGCCGTATTCGTCCCCTTACCATTCAGGTCATGAAGGGGAAACCTCTGGGCTGTGTCCAGATTCTGGCTCCCATCAGCCCCAGCCAGGTAGGCCAATGGTCAGGGATGATGGGAGTTGTAGTCCAACCACAGCTGAAGGACCTCAGGTTCCCCACTTCTAATTTAGGACTTTATGGGGAAGAAAAGACTGTACAGTCGTACCTTGGAAGTCGAGAGGGGGGATAATCTTTTTTACTAAATTGTTACTATGAATGATTGCCCGCCCTTCCCCTTAAGGTCAGGAGTGCGTTACAGCAACAGCATTCATGGCCTAATGGAAACTAGAAGGAAAAGCAGACTTTCAGCAGCATTTTAGGGAAGGCCGATATGTGAGGAACTTGATGTTATCTTCCAAAACACAATATTTATCGTGCAGATCCAGAGTAATTGCTGGTTCACGTTATATAGTTGCCTTTTAATTTGGTGTGCTTTTAATTATGCAGTCATTGGTTCCCATTTCCGTGCGGCTTTTTTCTGGGAGTGTGAAGCAGGCATTCCCAGCATCCTTTTCTCCCCCCACCTAAAAAAAAAAAGTCTTGTGATGAGTCATACATCTGGTGACTCATCAAACACTTGCTTTACTGCTCCAAGCGATGATGCCTACATAAAACTCCTGCAGAGAATGGAGGTGGATAAGAGCTTAAGAAGTGGCATGGAAATGCCCCCCCCCTCGCCCCCAGAATCCACCTCATATTTTTCCCCTTTCTTCCCCATGTGGATTCAGTTCTGTCTAAAGGGCAAAAGGTTCCCTTTAAAAAAAAAAAAGTATAATTGAAAATTGAATCTGGTTCCTATGGCAACAGAGTCCTGTTTGATTCCCCCCCCCCCCCATAGAGAAGTTAGATTGCTTTAAATAAATGATGGTCACACTTTTGTCATCAGGAAGCCCCCCCCCCCCCCAAGAAGCACCAATATGAGGATTGCATTTTTGCCCTCAAGGGTATGCATTTATTTATTTTTTTAGATGGAGGAATGCATGAGTTGTAAGGGACCCCAAGGTTCATCTAGTCTAACCCCCAGCAATGCAGGAATCTCAGGTAAAGCATCCATGACAAAAGCCACTTGTGGGCATTTTATGAACACGTGTCGTTCATAAATGATGCTGTGCGCTTTGTGCATTGTACCTGGGGATTTGGTTTCTCAGTATAATTAATGTTTTGAAGTGGCCCTGGCTTGTGGGCCAGCTGTTTTTGCTTTTTTGTTTTAAGTCGAAATAGATTACAGCCTGATGAAACTAATAATGTATTAAAATAGCCTGGGGTTGTTTGTTTTTTTAAATGTCTGTTGCTGGCATCAAACAATGTTGGCATCGGGCAGCAACATTTTTATTTTCCCAGGCTTTTAAACAGATCATTATTTTAATCAAATTGTTGCACTCTTTGCTAAATTGTTTTGATTACTTTAATTTGTGTTTATAGTTCAGCTTTTCGGAAGTCAGTTAAAAACTTTGTTTTGTTGGCCTTCCAGATGGGCCATAAACCTGTTTTTCAGTTTCATTGGCTTAAAAAACAAAAACAAAAACAAAAAAACCTTTCCAGCATGCTAGCTGAATTGGGAAACCCATAGGTCAAAAAGCAATGCATAGATTGACTTATTTTATACTTTTATAGAACCTCTGTGGTTTGTTGTATGTATGTAGGTTAGGAAGTCTGAGTAGGTCATTCTAATAGTACAGCTTCAAAGTAGTACGCTGTGGAGACGGATGTCGTTCAGTGGGGGAGCCACATGCATTGCACCCAGAAGGTATGAGTTTCAATCCCTGATACCTCCCATACCCTCTGCCAGTTACACATAGATAAGGCTGAATTAGATGGACCCAAGGTCTAACTTAGTATAAGGTAGCTTTCTCTGTTCTGGAGCTGACCCATGGCTCAGATTATCGCCCTTGGCTGCTCTCGAGCCAAACTGATGGCAGACCAGATGTCACAGTGATATCAAACTATTTTTGTCTGCAAGGGCCTTATATACTTACTTTACCAAACCTGTCCTAGGCCTGACACAGCTTGCCTTGAAATAATTCTCTCCTTGATACTGGCACTTAAAATACTAAATTGATTGATGTCTGTCTGTGTACGTGTGCTGTTCAGTTGTACCAAGTTCACTAGGGAAGCGGGTGGCGCTGTGGTCTAAACCACTGAGCCTCTTGGGCTTGCCGATCAGAAGGTCGGCAGTTTGAATCCCTGTGGCGGGGTGAGTTCCTGTTGCTCTCTCCCAGCTTCTGCCAATCTAGCAGTTTGAAAGCATGCCAGTGCGAGTAGATAAATAGGTACCCCTGCAGTGGGAAGGTAAACAGCGTTTCCATGTGCTCGGGTTTCCGTCATGGTGTTCCGTTGCCCCAGAAGTGGTTTAGTCATGCTGGCCACGTGACCCAGAAAGCTGTCTGTGGACAGACACAGGCTCCCTCGGCCTGAAAGCGAGATGAACCCATAGTCACCTTTGACTGGACTTATTTGTCCAGGGGTCAAATAAGTTCACGTCAGCCTCCTGAAGTGCTTTTTTTGTGACTATACTCACTGGTGTCTTTCTTTGTTGCCTGTGGCAGCCATTTTGTGATGGCACCCACAGCACCTTTGTCTAGATATGAGTACCATCATCTCATTTTTACCAGGAAAAGAGAGAAACACATGCAGGCACTGGTATTGACCATGGCAACCTTGAAATTAGTAACTTTGAGGGTATGTGACTGTGGTGGTGGTTGTTGTTGTTTTTTAAAATAATTTTAGACAGTTTTTAAATGTCTTAATCGCTTTAGTTGTTTTTTTAAAAAAAATTGTTTTCAAATAAGTTTCATTTTATTTTTGCATTCTTAAAGAAGCAGCTCTGCTATGGGGAAATCAGGTTCTAAGACCAAACCCTGGCAAAAATGGAGCCTTGGTCTTGTCAGTTGAATTGGTGATTCTTTCCTTGTAAAAGTGTTCATTTCACCCATGCACTTGAGCTCCACCTTCCTTCCCCTCTCTGTTTAATCATTCCACGCTGCCTCTCTGGAATAAGGTTCCAGTGTTTGGTTGCTGCACAGTGGTGCCTTTGTCAGGAGCAAGCCAGCAGCTTGTCTTTCATTATCTGTGGTGGTAGCTGGAGCAGAAGGAAGGGAGAGGGTGCGTGGGTGGGGAAGAAACCCCTGGCCCTGGACAACCGCTCAAAGAGACTATTTATAGATGAATGCAGCCTCTCACCTGGCAGAACAGAGGGGCGAGGCTAGCATGGCAGAAGCAGCACAAAGGGATTTTTGTCTGCCTTGGCATGTTGAGTGAAGATGCTGCATGGTATGGCACAGGGAGGCCTCAAACACTGTAACCGGCACAGTAATATTATTATTAATTTCATTTATGAATAGCTTCCTGTGAAGCCACTTGAAGCAATATCACAATACAATAAAAGCGGTTGCCTATATAAAAACAAAAACTATTGCATGTATAAAAACAATTCCAAACAGATTCAGATGCTAACGGGGATGAAAGTCTCATCTTGGAAGGCTTGTTGCTGAAAAGGAACAATCTCCGACAGGCACCAAAACACAACAAAGACTGTGTGTGGCAGGGATGTAATGGGAAGAAGTTTGGTTCTGACATTATGCAGGATGGACCACGTCATTGGATGGTATCTTCAGGTTGTCATCTTCCGCGGAATGCCGCGAGTGTTTGGGTGTGTAAGGTACATGTTTTTAATATACAGTGGTACCTCAGGTTAAGTACTTAATTCATTCTGGAGGTCTGTTCTTAGCCTGAAACTGTTCTTAACCTGAAGCACCACTTTAGCTAATGGGGCCTCCTGCTGCTGCCGCACTGCTGGAGCATGATTTCTGTTCTCATCCTGAAGCAAAGTTCTTAACCTGAGGTACTATTTCTGGGTTAGCAGAGTCTGTAACCTGAAGCGTATGTAACCTGAGGTACCACTGTATCAACATCTGTGGTTGAAAGGAGCTCAGGTGAGTCAGAGCTAGTCCAATACATGATCCTGCTGAAGGCAGAGGACATCAGCAGCATCCTTACCCATGACTTCAAATGGGGGGGGGGGGAATCCATCAGGACCTTTTTCTCCATAAGAAGTTAAAGCAGGATTCTTGCATAGCTCTCATTTAAGCAGGGCTTGTGCAGGAGAAAGGAATGGACTTTCCCCCCTGGTTTTGATTTGTATAGACCAGGCAACGTCTGCCCAAGATGCCCACCTTGCCCTGTAGCTAGCTGTGTGGAGAAAGGCCTGTGCCTAAGACCCTGAAGAGCTGTTGAGCTCAGATTTATTGGAATCATCGAATCATAGAGGTGGAAGGTGCTTCCAAGGGTCTAGTCCACCCTGCAATGCAGGAGTATTAATGGTCCGTATTGCTAATGCAAGCCAACTCTTTAGCAAAACATCATGAGCACGTATCTTGAGCAAGGGAACAGTTGTCGCTTAACCTGCCTCTTGTGGACAGGGCCCCCTTTGCAGTATGCATGAGGGGAGGGGAAGGAAGTTATAGGAAAGAATAAACGTTTCTTGCTTCCTCTGTCTTGCACATAAACCTCCAAGGACGAGCAAGACTCTTACATGGAGTCCTGAAGCACCACGTTTATTGGATATAGAATTAAACACCTGCTGCCTGTTGCTGCTTACGTGGTAACAGGGTGTTCTTTTCTAAACTAATTTGCACACCATTGATTTATATTGCATTGGAGGGCATTAAAGACTGGTATTCCTTTGGAAAACTAAATGTACAGCATTGCAGAAATGCAAGGTCAAGTTATAAAGCAAGATATGGACTTCATACTTAGGGAACTGAAAGCCCTCTTTGGAAGGACATATGGAGGAACAACATGCATATATATCAAAGGAAATACAGCTAACTTATTAAAGAGCGTAACGTATTCCATGGGTTTGATGTGCAGTACAATCGGCTCTTCAGAGGAGTTTGTGTGTGTGAGTGTGTCTGCGCACCAAGAATCTCTTGAGCATAGATTCTATATATAAAAATTATGGTTACCATTCATTATATAGTTATTCTTCTTGGCAGAGCTTGGATTACTGTTTTGAAGTGTCTAATTACAGGATGTATACATATTTATTTTTGCTTGTAATCTTTTTGGCCTGGCCTATCGTTATTCAAATTACATCTTCCTTTGCCAGCAGGGGAGGTTAAGATTACACCACAAAGTAATTACTAGCATCAGGCCAACGCAGTCGCTCCCTCCCTCCCTCCTTCCTTCCTTTCTCGTTGCTGCTCATTTTGAAGGCCCCCGGAGCAGCAGGCCGCAGGGCTCTTTTGCTCTTGATTTCCACTCTTCTTCTGCCTTCGTGGCCAAAGCGCGTGGTAATTGCATTCTGCTGCAATAAGTATCTCCCTGAGCTGAGATCTTCTGCATATCTCATTTCTGCTGAAGAGGCGTCGTTGGCAAAGATAACAACATGTATACTGCCTCCGATGCAGCTTCCGGGTGATATGTTTTGGCAAAAAGCCAGGGGGGGATGAGGGTTCCGGTGGCTGCTCACCTTGATAGATGGAAAGGCTACCAGAATGCCTTGAGTCGAGACAATCTATGGTGGCTGAGGAGGCTGCAGCCTTCCCAGATGTTGCAAGACTACAACTCCCATCATTCCCGATGGTTGTCCACTCTGGGTAGGTCTGATGGGAGCTGGATTCCAACGACCTACAGAATGCCACAGGTTTCCCAACCTGGCATTATCCCAGCGATCACTGATATGTTAAACTCTGTTGGTGTGAGGACCTCATTTTCCAGAGAGCAAAGTGGGTCTTGCTTTTTGGAAGTGGTTTCTGCTCAGATCTTGGGAGCTGATGCAAAGAAAGCACAATGCCAACGGCAGCCGGGTTCTGTTGGCATGTGCGGACCCCCGGCTGCTTTGTCTAATGGCTTGTTTAGTCTTGTTTGCGGCTTCTGCTTGCAGCGTTCAGTAATTACCTCATTTTTCTGTCCTCCGCCAATCCACCTTCACCCCAGGGCTATGCTTAGGCTACCGTTTAAAGCCCCAGGTTTCCGTATGAAGTAATAGCCTGGAAGGGGAGGGTAGAAAGGCTTTGCTTAATGAGTTAAATGCTTTCTCTCCAGGCTTCCTGTCCTTGGCTGGGGTTTGCTTTTGTGAGCTTCTTTCTCCCCTTTCATTTCTGCGAAAGTCTTGCCGGTTCCGACTGCTGGTTCTTAATATATGCCTGTGCCTCTCTCTCTCTCTCTCCTCCCCCCGCCCCTCAATCCCTTTTCCAGCAGATTTGGAAAATGACAACTGGTGTCTGGGCTCAGAGTTGTCTTCAGCAACCATCAAGACAGAACCCACCACGGGAGATGCACCAGGCCTTGCTCCCTCGGTCAGCCTCACCGCCACATCCAGCCCTGCGAGTCTGGAGGCCGAAGAGCCTCAGATGCAAGATGATGGCATGGTACTGTTTGGGGTTACTTCCCTTCATGGTGGCTTAACTGGCTCGACACGGATGGTGTCGTCGGCTAATGAGGTGTAATGTTGTGGTTAGAGTGTTGGACCAGGGCCCGGGAGACCTGGGTTCAAATCCCCACTGGTCCAGTCATCTCTCAGCCCTACCTCACAGGCTTGTTGACAGAATAACATGGGGAGGGGGTGAACCCTATGGACCACCTTGAGAGCCTCAAAGTGAAGGTGGGATATAAATGATTGGGGAGGGGGGAAATGGGAGCATTCAGAAGTGGAGACCTGTTTGTTTTAGGCAGTGGTTCACTTTTCTATACAAATGGTAGCCTGCTTTGCTGCATGGGGGGAGGACTTGGTTTCATAGAGTATGACACTGCCCTTGCCTAGTTCTTCATCCTTGCAGAAGGGAATTGCCACAAGGACTCTTTGGCATCTCATGATTTCTGTCTATACTTTTCATTCGAGTTGGTCAGAGAAGTATTTTTCATTATCTATTAGATTTATATACCGCCCTTCATCACAAGATCTCAGGATAAAAACACAGTGGAACCTCTGTATAAGTCCGCCCCGTCCAGCGTCCATTTTGGTGGATGTCCGTGGCAAACCCGGAAGTACCAGAACGAGTTACTTCTGGGCTTGCCCTTGCGCATGTGCAGAAGCGCAAACTGCTCCGCGTGTGTACGCAGAGTGGTGCTTTGTTGAGCACCCTTTTCGTTGAGCTTCCAGGGCTCTGGAACAGATCCCAGACTCAAAACAAGGTGCCACTGTGCAAGGTAAAAGCACCAGTAAGTAGTTAAAAACAACAAAACAATACCGCCACACACACAGACACATTTAAAAGGCTGTAGAATATTAATCCGCCTTAGGAAACAAAAAAAGAGAAATGCAAAATACAAATTAACCCCTCCTCCATTGAACAACACCCCCCAAGTTAAAACCCTATCCCCATTAAAACCATAAGTTTAGCACAAGGGGGCTACATCCAAAAGGACAGTGCCCTTTGGTATTGCCCCTTCAGTGGTAACCCTCCTGGGGCAGCCCCACCCCCAAGGCAGGCAGGCTTTATAGAGCTGCCCCATGTCTAGCTGGGGCAGCAGGTGCCCCAGCCACAGTCCTTTCCATGGTAGGCTGGCCATTTAGGCAAGTAGAAATGCACTGCTGCATAAGAGGGTGTGGACTTGCATATAATTTGCATGCACGAATATGTTTTTTGTTTTTTTGCAGAGGCAAATTGATAAATCATTGCTATAATTTAAGTAGAAACACAGTCGTCTCTCCATGGTGAGGAAGACTGTAACTAGGCGGCCTGCATGAATTCTCAGTCTGCTTTCCTGATGCAACCTCCAGGCTCCTGCTGCTCCCCTTTCGTAGGGTTCTTTAAAGCAGACTTTAAAGGTCTGTTTTCTGTAAAATGGGATGCCTGGCTGCCTCATTCTATGCTGATTGTCTTGCTTGTCTGGATTAACAAATTATGAAACTGGAAAGAAGGTGGGTTCTCTCCGAAAGTCTGATGTCTCTTTCAACCCTTTTGTCTTTTTAGACCAAGCCGCTGAGTCACAAAGCTTTTCCAGAGATCAAACTGGAGCCGCATGAAGTGGACCAGTTCCTGAACCTTTCTTCCAAGGAAGGTTTGTTTTGTACTGCTGATTTCTCTCCACATGATGGGCAGCAAGGGAGAAGAGGCTTGGGCCCCTAGCTGTTGTTGGACTACAACTCCTATCATTCCAGTGGTCAGGGATGATGGGAACTGTAGTCCTTTAGTGCTGCTAACAGAGCGGTTTGACTTCACCCCTGGAGGCACGCTGCATTGTCTCTCGACAGACAGATGCAAACAAAGATATACTGGTCTTAGACATAGCAACCTCCGGTTTCCTCATTGGCCTGACTTGAAGAAAGATACTGTGCTTTCTTAAAACTGCCGTTTCCTGTGATCTGCAAACCTGGAAACGGTGGTTGAAGCAAAGCTTTCAGCCTAGGTTCTGATCTTATTTTGTAAGCAGTGCTTTAGTCCTAACTTCCTGGTTCTGATGCCATGGGAACTGTGATTTAATAAGCCAAGCATGTGAGGGAAGGGGGGCGGGGGACAAGGCTTTTTTTGTCTTGGTTTGAGAAAGTTGCATCAGAGCTGGTCCACCATTTTTTCTAATGCTCTAAGACACACTTTCTGTTTGTCTCCCTTGCTCCTTTCTCCATCTTCTGTCTCTTGCAGCAATGGACACCCTGCACATGCCTCCGACCCCTCCCAGCAGCCACGGAAGTGACTCAGAGGGCGGCCAGAGCCCAACCAGGTCCCTCCCACCATCAAGTCCCAAACAGTTACAAGCCACGGCTAAAGTGACCTCGCACACGGCTTCCGCGCTCACCAATTCCCCTCTCTTAACGGCACCACACGTAGGGGACAGTTCTCTCTCTCTCTTAATGAATGCCATGTGTTTGATTCGCTATATTTTACTGTCATCACTCTGACTGCATATTACAATGGAAATCTCGTTCAAAATTCCTCCTGTTCCAAGAACAAGGTTGGTTTGTTTTAGCAGATGAAGGCTAGTTCTCTCATTGATACCAGGTATCACTGGAGGGTGAAAAAGTCCCGGCACCGAGTGACCACTAGCACATGAAAAATTGGGCCTGGAAATTTACATCTGACTTGCTGCAGAAAAGTGAAAATGGGCTCCTTATTTGCAAAGAAAATTGTGGCTCTGCAGCTCAACTGGTCTCTCTGCTTTCCTTATACCTACTTAGGCCATTGGTCTTTACAGCTTAGTATCGTCTACGCCAGGGTTTCCCAAACTTGGGTCCTCAGCTTGTTTTTGGACTACAATTCCCATCATCCATGACCCTGCGAGCTAGGGATGATAGGAGTTGTACAAAAACTTGGAGACCCAAGTTTGGGAAACCCTGGTCTGCACTGGCTGACTTGCATCAGCTCTCTAGGATCTCAGACAGGAAAATTTCCCAGCCATAGCTGAAGACACAGGGGTTTGAAATGGGGACCTTCTGTATGTAAACTCTTCAGCTGAGCTCCTGCCCTTCCCTTATTTAAGACAGTCTTTTCATTTGGGTGCTTCTGTTCAGAAATGGAACTTCAGCACACCTGAATCAAGGGATTGAAAACTTTTCCTTCCACATGTTTTTGGACTCCCAACTCCTACTAACCCCAACCTATGTGGCCAGTGGTCAGAGGTGGTGGGAGTTACGAGTTCAGCAACATTACCTGGAAGGTGAGTGTAAGCTCTTAGGCCACAATGGTCCCCACCTTTTTACAGGATAGGTGGAAAGAAAAACAGGGTTTGTGGATGCAGTTCTGTCTAAACCGTCAGTCCTGGATATGCTGGCATGGGAAAGAGTCTGTTCCAGAGGCTGGGAAGTTGATGATGAATGCAACAGCAGAATCTCTCCTAAGCAGTAGAGCAGTAGATCTGTAGAACCCAAAGAGCTGGAAGGACAGAACCAGCAAAGCAAGCTCAGTGGTTTCCAGTTTCCAATGGGTCCATAGTATTATTATGCCTCTATGTACAGAGTTGGAAAGAAACCTCAAAGGTAATCTAGTCCAGTAGACAATGGTGCAGGAGACCCCACATTTCAGCACCTGTAACAGGTGGCTTTCAAGGCTCTGCTTAGTATATTACACATAGAAAAATGGACTTTTTAGAGCAGCAGCCTTTAGAGCAACACACCTTTGGAAAATAGATCCCCATTTCAGTGTTTTCTGGAGCTCTTTGCATGCATATCGCCAGCACTTGAGTTCACTGTTACGAATACAATTGTGACAGAAGACTTTGCTCTGAGAATGCAGTTCCTGTCCATATTTAAGAACCTTATTTTCCTCACCCCCCCCTTCGCTCTAATCCATTGTCTTTGTGTTTGCCGTAGAAATTGCAGGGCACAGGTCCCCTGATCTTGACAGAGGAGGAGAAGAGGACCTTGATCGCAGAAGGGTACCCTATCCCTACCAAACTGCCCCTAACAAAAGCAGAAGAAAAAGCACTGAAGAAGATCCGCAGGAAAATAAAAAACAAGGTAGGAGTTGCTATTAAACAACTTGGACTTATATTCAGGGTTGTTGGGGGTTTTTTTGTCGGGGGAGGGAGGACTTGGGCAAGATGCTCCTGGTGAACCACCTTCTCTGGGCAAGTCTGCTACTGTTGCCGGCATCAGTTTTCTTGCTGCCTTTCTCTGGACCCAGAAGGTGAGGCTGCTGTTCCGTCTTGCTCCTGCCATTGCTTGCTCACTCGGAGGTCAAGTGAGCAGACAGCAGTGAGAAGGACCAGCAGGCTCCAAGTCCTGGCAGCCTTCCTTCCACTGAGCCTCTGGGGTTGGCCAAGCGCCAGATAATGTTGGCCCTGTTTTGTTTCTCATACCAAGGAACTCTGTTATCACCTTCGGTGTATTTGTTCAGGGTATTTGTTACACTATTTTCCCACGGCAAAATCTGCCCACTGCTATGCCTATATAGAACAAAACACGATAAAGCAGAACAACATTTCAGGGCAATCTGCTAGCATTATGAAAGACACGTCTGCAAAATTTTAACAGGGTCGCCGTGAGGTTTTTAAAGGGTCATAGAACGGCATTTCAATAGGCCAAGCAAAATAACTCCTGTTAATCAGCTCTGTGTTACATCAAGATGGAGCGATCTGCTAATCGTTCATACTAAGGCCTAACAATAGAAATAGAAAAGAACCCAATGCAAATTGCAGCAAACATAGTCTTATCTTATCCAAAACTTGTTCTTGGTCCCGAGGCCACCATCCTCCCAGACTGGGTGGGAGGGGCCAGAAAGAGTCGGGAACCGGGTCTTTCAGAAATACATAGCCAGATGCTATGCCAAGATGGGGAGACACTGTCCTCCAGATGTTTCTGGACTACAGCTCCCATTATTCTTGACCATTGGCTATACTGGCTGGGGCTGATGGGAGTTGGAGTCCCACCATAGGCTTCCCATCCCTGTCCTATATGCTGTCGCAGTGCTGTGATGGTTCTTCGATCGAGATGGCTAAATGGTGACTTTGTAAGTTTGTCTGGTCCGTGATCACTTTCATTACAAATCCTTGCACCGATAAGAGCCTATGACGAGCCTGCTAGATCAGGCCAGAGGCCCATCTAAGCCAATATCCTGATCTCACTGTGGCCAATCAGATGAGTGTGGGAAGTACGCAAGATGGACAGGAGCAGAACAACACACTCTCCACCTGCAATTCTCACCAACTGGTATTGAGAGGTGATTCCTCTGGCAGTGGAGATGGAACGTAGCCGTTGTTGATAGCCTTTTCCTGCACAAATTTGTCGTCTTCTAAATCCGTCCAAGTTGGTGACCATCCCTGCCTCCATATTTTAACAATGTGGTGCATGAAGTTTCTTTCGTTTATCTTCCAACATTCAGCTTCAGATGGGACACATTAGTTGAGTGCCCCCACTGTCTTCAGAACACCCCTGTGAGGTAGGCTAGGCTGAAAACAACTAGCTCAACATCTAAGCTAAGTGAGGATTTGGGCCCAGGTCTCCCTGGTTGCAGTCTGAAATTTTAACCCCTGTACCTAAACACTTGCTCTCTGGTATGAAGCTGGGCACCCTACTGTGGCAGTGAGGAGCTGGAGTGGCATGGGCAACACTCCACTGTGACATGAGACATGATTTTACAGCTTAAAGCTGAAGTTGCTTTCCTTATCCATTCCTGAGTTCTAATTCTTCTTTTAGTTATGGCCTTTGTTAGGTGTGTAATCAGTGCTTTGCATTTCTCCTGTAGATCTCTGCCCAAGAGAGCAGGAGGAAAAAGAAAGAATACATGGACAGCTTGGAGAAAAAGTAAGCTTGCCAGAATGACCTGTACAAGAGAAAGTTGCATTCTGGAATGCAGAATCCCAGCCTCCCCATTCCATTCCCTCTCCTGCCTGGTTTTCTGTTCTCATTCTTTCCCAAGAAACAGTCAGCCATCATTCCATGGTGACTTAAGCATGTTACGTCCTCATGGGGCTGTTTGCGGATCCCCCCCTTCCCTGTTTTTTCCCCCTGCAAATGGTTGGGGTTCCCCCAAAGCTGCTGCTGCTTCCCTTAAGTGCCTGGGTGTTGCTTTTTTGGCTTCATAAGCAACAGCGCTCACAGCCTGAACATTGGAAATAGAGGGAAATGTAGCAAGATTGCAGTGACGGCTGTGGAAGGGGTAGACAAAATGGAGGCTTCATAACGCAGTGGTAGAGCAGTTGTTTTTAATGCAGGGACTCCTATCTTTGGCTGAAAGGATCTCTCTGGGATAAAAAGCTCAGAGACCCCTTCACTGAGGCCCTGAAGAGCTGCTGCCTTTCTGAATACGGTAGAAGGGCCAGCAGCATGACTCTATTCAAGCCAGATTTATATTCTCACCATGTTTATTTTGATGCCAGCAAGGAACCAACATGGCCACAAAGCATTGGAGCTGTGTGTGTTTCACATGCCCCCTCGTGGCTGCTCCTGGAAATACTACTATTGTTAGCACAAGAAAACAAGCTATAGCTGTTCAAGCACTTGGAGGTATCATTGCAGCCCTGTCATGGTCTGAAATACCTATGCTCAGAACAGAATTTGGCACAGAATAAGCTGCTGAGATTATTTCCTTCTCTTGTTCCGGCATCCCGGCATCTCCTCCTCCAGCGTGCAGTGCAACTCTTGCTTACAAAATTGATGCACGCACTCTTGCCGTGGTGGCAAGGGAGAGTCACCTTTTTCTGAACTAAAGGATTGTGACAGATTTCTGTCTGCTTACTAGCAGCAGTTCAGAAAGCATTTCCCATTTTGGTTGTTCCATCCCAACTGAGGAAATAGCTTAACCTTTCTTTGTCTGCTTGTTCCCAAGGGTCGAGTGCTGCTCAAATGAGAACAGTGAGCTTCGCAAGAAGGTAGAAGTTCTGGAGAACACAAACAGGTGAGTTATAAAGCACTCTGGTCCGTAGCTAATACTTCTGCCGTGTTTTGGAGAGAAGCAGCTGGCTATATTGACTCGCCAATTGCATGAGCAAGATTACAAGCTGGAAGTGGAATAAGAACAAAAGACAAGCCCATCTAGTTCACCAACCAGATAGCTGTGGGAAACCCCTAGCAGGGCCTGTGTACAATAGCACTGTCCCCTGCTTCAGTTCAGAAGCACAGAGCTCTCAGCAGGGAAGGTGCAACATAGCCTTCATGGCCAGCAGCCATTTATTCTTCATGAATTTGTTTAACCCCCTTTCAAAACCATCCAAGTTGTTTCCCGCCACTATACCTAGCAGCAGTGAGTTCCACAAATTTGTGCCGTCTTAAAGAAGCATTTCCTTTTGTCTGAGCTAAATCCTCTAGCATTAAGCTTCATTGAAACGGCTCTCAGTTCTAGTATCGTGAGAAAGGGGAAAACACTTCTCTTTACCTGCTTTCTCCATACCATGCAAAATGTTATACAACTCTGTCATATCAGGCCCTCGGCCACAGTGGGGGATGAGACGTGCCCAGTTAATCTCTGTGATTTCCAGAAACTGATACTCAGAGGTGTACAGCCTCTGAAAGTGGAATCAGAACTTCATGGGAGGATAAGAAGTTAGAAATTTGTTGAGTGAGGACGAGGGTATCAGTGGCTCCTTGCCATGGTTAACTAATACACCAAACTCTCTAGTTCAGAAATATGGTTTGTGTGTTTGTGTGTTAAACATATGGACACATTGCTACCAATTATATGGCAATTTGGGCAATACCGTCTACACCTGCAGCTGGCAAGTGGCCAGTTGCATATCAAGGCACTGACAGTAAGAAAGGAACGTGGTGTCAGGACTGAGCAAATCCCATTAATAACGTCTCTTCTCTTGCTGGATCATGCACCTGGGCTCTGCCAGCTTCCTGCACTGTGACGGACTAGGGCAGTGAATCTGACATACATATTTTTTGAAAAACCACCCAGATAAAGGAATGCACTCATGCATTTGTTGGACGATATCGCTGGAGTGTGTGCCTGCATCTGGGAGCGGATTATCTCTTTGAGGATAAAGACCCAGAAGTGGTTTCCAAGTCTGACTGACACTTGGTGTGTGTTGCTAATTGGATAGCAAGTGTTCCGAATCTCTGGATCTCATACCGCGGAGGCAGCCTTGGAGTTTAGAAAGCGTCTCCCACACACGGCTTTTGTGCTCTTGAAGGCAGAACGGCATGTTGCCATAACAAACTCAGCTCCTCTTACCCAAGTTCAAGATTATGGTATGGGGACAGAAGAGGCATTTGTAACGCCTTGCAGATTGTAGGCTTACGGGTGGGTGTGCTTAACCATTCTTGCACCCATTGCAAAGCACCTTGCAAAGCACCGTCCTTTTTGTCTGTTTCCCCCTATGCTGAACCTTTTTGTTTGTGCAACCTGTCTGGGACAGGAGAACAATTAAAAATGGCCTAGATGACTGGGGAGAAGGATCAAGCACTATCTTCCTGCTGGTTAAAGTAAAGGTAAAGGGACCCCTGACCATTAGGTCCAGTCGTGACCGACTCTGGGGTTGCGGCAGTCATATTGGCCGAGGGAGCCGGCGTACAGCTTCTGGGTCATGTTGCCAGCATGACTAAGCCGCTTCTGGCGAACCAGAGCAGCGCACGGAAACGCCGTTTACCTTCCCACTGGAGTGGTACCTATTTATCTACTTGCACTTGACGTGTTTTCAAACTGCTAGGTTGGCAGGAGCAGGGACTGAGCAACGGGAGCTCACCCCGTCGTGGGGATTCGAACTGCCGACCTTCTGATTGGCAAGCCCTAGGCTCTGCGGTTTAACCCACAGCGCCACCCGCGTCCCTTACCTGCTGGTTAAGAGGCGCCATATTACAACAGTATTGTATGCCGACAGGTTCAATTCATGTCACCTCTAGCTAAGAATGGATCAGCTGGTGATGCAGAAGAACCCCAGCCTGAGTCCCTACAGAGCCCCTGTCAGCCAGAAAAGGCAAAGCTGGGCTAGACAGACGAGTATAGTGTGCCCTGATAGACGAAGGCAGCTTCTTGTGTTTCTCAGCTGTAGCTCAGGGTTGAAGAACCTGTGGTCCTCTAGATGATTTGGATTTGGACTTCCATTGGCCCCAGCCAGCATGGTTAAGGATGATGGAATCAATAGTCTAGCAAAGTCTGCAAGGCTACAGGTTTCCCACTCTTGCTATATAGCTGATAGTGCTCCCTTGAAAAACATGTTGAAAGGCATTGAGCCTTCACATTCCTCATCTGTATTGAGAAGGTATGGTCTTGTTTGGGTTTCTAAGCAATATTTTGACCGTACTACAGTAGTTTTGAATTTGGTTGGATAAAGATAATGAATAAAGGCCGTATTTAACAAACCCACCACGCTAGCAAAAGTCAGTGCAAGGAGTGGAATGGGAATTCGTCCACCAGTGTGTGTTCTGCACAGTCCCCAAATTTGCTCTTGAGGGTTGAAAAACCCCCAAAAGAGATTTAGGGAACAACACACCGGGGGGGGGGGAGGTTCCATTGTGCAAGGAAAATCATTGCACTGATACAACCTTGACCTTAGCACTGGGTTGAATGCAAGCCATTATCTTTTGTGGATTTAAGTTGAGAATAAACTTCCCTTCCTCCAGTTTTTGCAAAAGGGGACTTTATTGAGGCATTGTAATTTGTTGATTTGCTTACACTGAACAGATTAATCATTAGTAAAAAGATAGGTGATATTTTTTATTTTACTGACTGGCTGTCCTAATATATTTAAATTTAATTTTTGGATTGGAGTTTGCTGGTTCAGATGTCTTGCAAGTGAACCATCCTTCAGCTCCATTTGCATTAAAATAGCATAAAGATGCTCTTGAGATTTTTACCATCTTTGGTCAACTGAGATACGCTTATCTATTTTCATCCCCAGTCTCATCAGTGTTTGACAATATGTTACATGTTAAAATCTGCAAAAATCTGTACTCTTCTAGCAATGGCAGCATCCAATATAAGTGACTTGGTTTGTTCTGCAGTGTTTTTGGTCCTTTCTGTGTGCAAACAATTGATTGGCCAAGAATGCACGCAGCCCTCCATCCAAAAAGAAATTTAGCTACTCCTGCTCTCCATTTGGCATTGGCATTTGATACACTTGGGATTGCTGCAGATGTGCATGGCTGGGCAAACAGCCCAGCAGGGGTCTTTCTTTTGCAAATGTGTTGGTGTCAAGTCCTTTTGAAGGGGCCGTTGCTGGGATGCTGCACATTTTGGCGGAATGAAATTGATCTGATACATTTTCCAGCGTTCCTATTAAACAGATTGCCTCTTAAGATTATGGCTTTGAGACTTAATTGGACATTTCCTTGTTGATGTGCCAGTGTCCTTTTTCTGGTTGTTAACTAAATTTAATAGTAAGCCTGCCTTTTAAAGGGTCTCTCTGGGTATGTAAAGGGGGCTTCAGAAACCAAGTTGTAGAAATGCCATAATTGACTTGTGTACAGTGGTACCTTGGTTCTCGAATGGCTTAGTTGCCGAACAAATCGGCTCCCGAACGCCGCAAGCCCGGAAGTAAGTGTTCTGGTTTGTGAATGTTTTTCGGAAGCCGAACGTCCAACGCAGCTTCTGCTTGAGTACAGGAAGTTCCTGCAGCCAATCAGAAGCCACGCCTTGGTTTTCTAACGGTTTCAGGAGTCAAACGGACTTCCGGAATGGATTAGGTTCAAGAACCAAGGTACAACTGTACAGTTATTTATTTACAGGGCAGTGACAGAAACAACAACAACAACAACCCACCAAAAATTCTTAGTTTTCTGCTTTCCCAGAAAACACATGATTGATATTTTAAATGAACTTCCGGGGTGGCGCCTCTGGAAAATGGCGGAATTCCCTTCGAACTGAAGGGAACCCGCTGCACGGAGGCTTGGGTCCTGCCGCTACGGCGCAGCGGGGACCCTTAAAAACCACAGGCGGAAGAAGCCTGTGGACGTGGGACTCGGCGGGCACCGAGAGCGCTCTCTCCCCTTGTACCGGAGCCCGTTACCGGGCTCGGGTGTGGGTGGTGCGTGGGGCGGTGCGTCGTCTGCTTCCTCCGTGCATCAAAGCCGCACTGCCGTTTCGAGAGCGCTGCCTTTTCCTGGACAATTTGGCATCTAAAACATTATCCGTGAGTACCTGATCCTGGAAGAGCTGAACTACTTTTAAGATTGGTGAATAAATAAATAACATTGGACTTGAACTTGAAATTGAATTTAATTGGGACTCGGAACGGAAAGGTCTAAACAGGAAGTCGCCTTCCGTTCTTTTGTTACGTGAAGAAAGCAAAGACAAATTATACTAAAGCTTGAAAATTAAATTCTGAGAGAACTAAAATTCAACATCTAAGATTTCTGAACCCCCCTTTGACTGCAGGAGAAGAAGGGGGGTTGTTTTGGTTTTTTCAACCCTGCGGAAGTGAGTTTAAAACAAAGTAATTTTCCACCGCCCTGAACCAGGAGCGGGCTGTCAGAACTGACGTTTTGAAGCTTATCCAGCTCGACAGATAGTTAAAAGAAGGGTAACATTTTGATTCTACTGTTGCCTCTTGAATTTGGAAGGGGGAATTTTGGATAAAGTGTTTCTGGAAAAAGAAAGATTGTTGCTGTTGTTTTTCCCCCTCTTAAAAAAATTAAAAAAAAAAAGGGGGGGTTTTCCATCTAGTGGAACTGAGTGAAATTGCAATGCAGAGAGTTTAAAAGAGAAGGACTATTCTCGTGGGAAAGAATTTTCTTTGACCTTGAAGGACAATGCTTGTACAAAGGCTTGAACAAGTGTTCCTGGAAGGTTTTGCAAAATTAAGTGCCCAGCTGGACCAGATGCGTCAGGAGCTGACCTTGATGATGGAAGTTACCAGAGCACAGCAGCAAACAAATGAAATTCAGTTAAAGTCTATACAAGTATATGAACCTGCTGTAGCGACGGAGGCTTCAGAGATGGAGGGACCTTTGGATGGGCAAGATCAGCCTTTGAACCTGATAAATGAACTTGGGACAAACCTGATTCGGAAAGATGAAATGTGGTCAGATTTGAAAATGGGGGGATGGATTGACACCCCTCTATATGGTTATTTGGACTTTCCGAGTCTAGTGATGGGCCATCAGAGGATTGGAGTAGTCGAAGTCTCCAAGCTTTGTGGAAATTGGAAGTGGTATCATCTGCTGTCTGGCTTGGGTAATGGGTTTGGGATGGACTTGCTGCAAAGAGTCAAAAGCATCTTTTTGCTGGAGTATCCACGACTGAAAGGGAATATCAACAAGAGTGGCGAAAGGGGCAAGAAAGAGACTTGAGGGCCTCGGATACGAGACAACCAGGTTAAGGAGCCGGATTATTGAGGTTAAAAGGACTGACAATCCGGGTCCAGGGGAGGAGGCTGGAAGCTGACTGGACTGAATCTGACTTATTATTTTTTCTTTCTTATTTTTTAATATTGGGAATGTTTATAAATGTCTGAAGGATGTTGATTGAAATTATATGGCTTATGTAAGGATTGGTAAAGGATTTGTAAAAAGGTAATGATGTAAGAATTTGCTAAATATTGAATATAAGCTTTGAGTTTTAAAGTTTTTATATGACAAGAGGGAAAATAGAATAAGGAAACGTAATGATAGATTGTTATGAAAAAACAGAAAGGATTTGCTGTAAAAATTAAATACTAAGAAACAAGAGAGGGGAGGAGGAGGAAGTCTAGAAAGGAAGTTAATGGAGATCGTAAAGGATTTTATATTTCTGTTTTTCTGTTTTTCTTTTTTTCTTTTCTGCGGCTGGGTTTTTTTCTTCTTTAATATTTGTATTATTTTTGTTTTTTTCTGTATTTTCAAATTTTTTTTTGGAAATTTTTGTTGTTACTCTTTGAAATCTTAATAAATATCAATTATAAAAAAAAAAAAGATATTTTAAATGAAACATGAAGGTTTTAAATCTCCCTGGTTTCTGCTGGCACTGTTTGATAAACCTTCTGGTGATTAGGTGTCTGTGCTGCATGAACATTGGTTTGGAATGGGTGGGTATTCAGCACTGATTTATCTGAAATGGCTGCTTCCTTTAGAATAGGGTGTGGAGAAACCATTGACTTTGCCCAGTCCTTCAGCATCAAAACACAGTGGATGTAAAGAAGGCAGAAAATCAAAAAGATGGTGATTGGAAGAGCTCTTCCGCCCTTTCCTTGTCAATCAGCTGCCCTTCTCTTCCACAACAGGCTTTAGAAAGGCTTTTCCACTCTAGAGGTACCCTAAACACACCACTTCTGCTACCATGGTTGATTATGACCATTTCCTTCCTTTCCTTCTATGGATGGGCTAGTAGCTTGAGTTATCCCATTTATCCACACAACATCCCTCTTAAGCTAGGCCAAGAATAACTGGCCAAAGGCCAGCCAGTGAACTTCTGAACCTGGGTCACGTCAGTTGTGATCATGAATTCTCTCCTGCAGGCTACACTCCTCTGGTTTGTTGACTGTCAGTCTTTGGAGCGGGGGCTGTCTGTAGTCTTCACTTTGCACCTCATGGCCAACACACCCTTGGGGCACAATGAAAAAAATAAAGCTAAATGGAAGGCAGGAGGCAAAGCTGTGAAATGGCTGAGCCCTCATTGGCCAGGGAAGTGCAAATGTGTGTGTGAGCGCACACACACTGCTTAGGAGAAGGCAGTTCTTTGAATTGCACCCCCTAAGTGTGTCAGGCAAAGATCGCCATTTCTTTCAGCATCAGAGTTCCTGTTTTATGCTCTCACCTTTTTCTCCTCCCCCCACCCACTTCTTTGAGCTATGCATGTACTTGCTTAACCAAAACAGTTGTGAATTTTAGTAAGATGCACTGCTGGGGCCTCTTAGTGTATCATCTACTCTCCACCCCCCCTCTAACTTCTTAAATGGCTTTTTCTCACTTAGCCTACCCCTTCCATTTTCAGTAGATAGCTGCCAAAATGAATTGTTTTCAGTAAACTGAAGAATGTCTTTTCTCTGCAGATGAGCAAGGCTTTTGACTTTGATTTATTCCCCTAGCACCACATTTTATATCCAAATGAAGTGTTCAAGTTTGAAAGAAGTTTTATCCTGAGTTGTAAAGTAGCCATGACCCGGCGCATGAGCTGCTCATCTCAGTTTCTTGTTATTCCTTTGGTCCTTCGCCTCTCATGCCACCTGATCCTTTCTAACCTGGAGATGCTAAACCTGGAATCTCCTGCATTCAAAGCACATGCTTCAGCAGTGAGCTATGCCTCTGAATACCAGTTCCTGGGAATCACAGGTGCGGAGAGAGTTGTTGTGCTCAAGTCCTGTTTTAAAAGGCTTCCCACAGGCATCTGGTTGGCCACTGTGAGAACAGGATGCTGCCCTAAATGTGCTATTGGCCTGATCTTATGTTCCTATTCAGCACAGTGCACATAGGAAGCTGACTTAAGTTGAATTAGAGCTGTGTAGACTGGGTCTAGCCCAGTACTGTTGACACCAGCTCTCCAGGCTCTCCCAACCCTGCTTACAGGGTCTCCACTTTTGGGCTGGTCTGGAAAACTGGGAATGATTTGTGGTCTCCACTGATCATCCTGCCATACCACCACCACAGTCCTCTTGGGAAAGGCCAGAGTCTCACCTCTGACTGCCCTGAGCTTTGGAGGCAAAGTCAGAAGAGATTCTGTCTCTTTCCCCAAGAGTCAGGCCTGGCTGAGAGGGGGAATTGGCATCGGGTGATGCTAGATGACGGATGGGATACTTGCCAGAGGGCAGAAAGAGCGATCCCTGCGGCGAACACGGCAAGCGTATTTGTGGAGCCTTTTCTCCTCTGCTTTCAATTACATGGTGGCAGCTTCCCATCTCCAAGGGGTTTCTGCAACTCAAGCATATCACAGTGTGCAACAGAGCCCTAATTCTGGCTTCTATATAAAGAGAAAAGCTGCTTCAGAGGAATGTTGAGCAGAGATGTGTCAGGGTCTCTTGTCCCCTTCTCCAGCCAGCAATTTGCCAGTCCTAACAAAGTACATAAAGGTTCCCTGACTATTAGGTCCAGTCATGACCGACTCTGGGGTTGTGGCACTCATCTCACTTTACTGGCCAAGGGAGCAGGCGTACAGCTTCCGGGTCATGTGGCCAGCATGACTAAGCCACTTCTGGCGAACCAGAGCAGCACATGGAAATGCCGTTTACCTTCCCGCCGGAGTGGTAACTATTTATCTACTTGCACTTTGATGTGCTTTCGAACTGCTAGATTGGCAGGAGCAGGGACGGAGCAATGGGAGCTCACCCCGTGGCGGGGATTCGAACCGCCAACCTTCTGATCAGCAAGTCCTAGGCTCTGTGGTTTAACCCACAGCGCCACCCGCGTCCCTAACAAAGTACATGAGATCAGGCCAATGACCCATCAAGTCCAGCATTCTGTTCTCACAGTGGCCAACCAGATGCCTGTGGGAAACCCATAAGCAGGACCTGAGAACAGGGGCACTCCCCCCTCCTGCAGTTTCCAGCAACATCCTGCCCACATGGGCTTCAAAACAGAGAGAGGGATGCTTGCATAAGAAAGGTGTAAGCAGGAGTGATTCGGTTCTGTGAAATGGCAGCTAGGGAATGGATTCAGCACTGCATTCCCTCACTACTTTTCTGCTCAAAGTATGCTCTCGTTTCATTCAGAAAAGACACATAAATTTTACAAAATAGGAGGCTGCAGGTGAGCAGATTTTTTTTTAGGGCAGGGGTTATTAATAATATTAAGAAAGTTCTGGTCCACATAGATCTCTGGTGGGAGCATTGGGAGTCCTAATTTAAGCCTGAACATCTAGAGCCCTTGAATTCATTCAGACCCTAATTAGAGAGGTGCTTGTTGTTGTTGGGTTTTTTTAAGGCAATTTTACATCTGGCTATAAAGGCACCTCTGGGGATGTATTTTGTAACTTGAGCATGTAAAGAAAGATTGGACTGAAGTGTGTAGAAGAGGGTTGGGGAATGTGTGCGGTTGGACTCCCAATTCCCATCAGCCCCAAGCAACATGGCCAATTCTTAAGGGATAATTCAGTGACCTCTATACCACATCCATGGTGTAGAATATAATTCATGCACCTTGAAAAGATGTATGTTTGTTTTTCTTGTGAGTGAAACTATAGGGCCCTAGGCTGCCAGATAAAGTGTGCAGTTGTTGTTGTTTTTTTACTTTTTTAATTGGTTTGTTGTGGCAGGTCAACAGAGAGCTTTAGCCTACTCGTAATTGCTCAAACCCAAATTGCTGGCACACGCTTAAATCCCTCTCACAGAAGAGTGACAGTCTGGAGACACCCAGAGACAGTTGAGGACAGGGGGTGGGGGCCTGTGGCCCTCCATATGCTGCTGACCTACAACTCCCATGAGCCCCAGTCAATGTAGCCAGTGGTCGAGGATGATGGGAGTTGTAGTTAAGCAACATCTGGAGGGCCATAGGTTTTCCACACCTGCCCTAGGTCAACAAATCTTCTTTAAATAAGAATCTGACTTTTGCAGGTAGGAAAGTGATGGGGAAATCCCCTGAGAAGTGTGAATGATTAATGGGGAGGTTTCATGATTAACGGTTTTCAAAGGCATCAGGTTGGCCACTGTGGGAACACGATGCTGTGGGCCATAGGCCTGATCCAGCAGGCTCCTCCTACGTTCTTACAAACACCCTGCGACCAGATCAGGATGGATCTTCCTTCTCTTACAACCTAATCCCAAACTAATCGGGCAGGATGCATGCTCAAGAAAGGTCAGACATAGTTTAACCTCCATGTAAGCTTTGTGCAAGGTAGTAGGAATGAATGCTCAGTGAACAGGTTGTCTGGAGAAGCCCTCTGCTCTGTACAGGTTCAACCGATCTAGCGCCCCAGAAGAAGAAACAGTCCTCTAGGTGTTCTGGGTGTGTGCCTCTTCATTGGCAGGCTCAACAAATCTTGAAGCGTTGTATGAATATGACAAAGGGCAAAGAATAAGAGTGGTGCATGAAATGCAGAATCCCAGACCAACACATGTTGATTTCTGCCACTCTCCATCTTTCAGAACACTCCTGCAGCAACTGCAGAGGCTCCAAGCCATGGTGGCTGGCAAAGTGTCTCGCTCGTGCAAAGCTGCCGGCACGCAAACGGGGACCTGCCTCATGGTGAGTCCTGCCTATTCCTTTTCTCCTTAGGCCCCTCCCTGGGCCATCGATGGGTCACACATTGTTTAGCAGGAACTGCATCATGGTGGGGCACAGGGGCAGGGAACCTTTTTCAGCCCAGGGGCCACATGCCAGCGGTGGGCTATGCTAAAGAGGGAAGCGCGTAGAGCAACAAATGCAATTTTTTAACTTTTGCACAGTGGGCTAGCCCCAAAATAACCATCTCAGATCTCCTGTATGCCTTTATTTCTCCCCAATATGACATGTTCTGCCTAACATAAAAAAAACCCTGCACTTCTCATCTCAAGCTAAAAAGTGCTTCTTCCTGATGTGCTAGCTTTCTTTGGCCAGTGAGCATTCAACCATGCAATTCCCTCGGCAGCATTGCAAAGTCATATGGTCCCCAGAGAGCTGTGTCGTTTGCTTCTAGGCTGGCTTTATTTGGCAGGCGAAAACTGAAATGTGCTTCTCTCCCCCTGTCCTTGCTGTATGAATCCAACAGGGGCAATTTGGTGTTGTTTTTGTTTTTTAAGCAGCTGTCCCTGCATCTACCAGTCAAGCCCCCACTTTGAGCTCCTATTAATTCTCCCCTTCCTGCCTGAGCTTTCCCTCTTCCAACATGTCCTGTCAGGCTGCTTTTTAAACTCACGGTTGTGTGTGCCTGTTGAGTTGCGAGGAGCCTGGGAAGTGCCCACTGTGATGTTATGAAACAACATTGAAATTCATGTCACAGCCTAGTCTAGCCAAGATGGATTTCCTACCTTTTTGAGTTTTGTGAGTAAGTAGCTCTGCTGAGCGGAATGGCTGCAGAGCTTCCAGCATTGCCATACTAATGTGGAACGTCTCTCCTTCTGAGGAGCTGAATCTGGATTGCATCTGCGCTCCTAGTTTCAAGCATCCTGTCTCATGATTAATGCAGCCTGGGGAAGGAAATCACCTCTGAACCACATATCATTTTCTTTGTTTTGATATTGCTCTGTATTTGATGTTTGAGCTGTAAGACTTTATTTCTGTTCGTTGGCTCAAGTATAACTGAGTCTCTGTGTCTTTCTTCCAACCTCCCTCCCCCCGCCAGGTGGTAGTTTTATGCTTCGCAATAATTTTTGGCAGCTTCTCCCAAAGTTACGGTCCCACGTCCTCCATCACAAAGGCAGTGCTACCACCCCAGCATTCCATGCCAGAGTCATATACAGCCTCTATAGGTGAGTGAGCATCTCTCTCGTGGTTCTGCAGTTATTCAGTTTCCAAAAGGAGAGGGAGCTACGATTTGCCTCTGCCCTAAGGAGCTAGATCTGACATAAGGGGATTTGCATTGCATTTTGTGCCCAAAATGGTTTCTGTTCTTCATCCCCTCTCCCTCCTACCTCTTTCTGTACAGTGAGGTCAAGGAGTCTTCTGACTTATGAGGGGCCTCCTCACCCGCTGGAGGAACAGCACTTCTCAGATCGCAGCAACAGCTGGGACAGGCACCTGGAGGCCTCCAAGCACTCAGCTCTGCCTTCGGAATCTGTGTCCAGGTCACCGCATGACCAAGTCACAGAGATCATGATAGCCAATGAAACGAGGCTAGAGAAGTCATTGCTGGTAGAGTTCCAGCAGCACAGGTGAGTGGAGGGCATGGGCTGGTTGAACACAGAGCAATGGTGGGAGGAACCAGCTAAGGAACTTCCACAGGAAGAAGTCTTAGAGCCCGGGGAGTGGTTATAGTACCAGAATGAGTGGTCAGGGGGAGGAGACTGGGAAGAGGAGGTGTCGGAAGCTGAAGAGGTAGCAGGGTTTAATGAGCAGGAAGAGTTTCTGGCAGGGAATAAGGATAAGAGGCAGAAGTGGAAGCTGGAGAGGAGGTAGGCCAAGAGGCAGAAACAAATCAGGCTGGTGCAAAGTCATGGGTGTCTCTCCCTTCTGCTGCCACAAGCTGCCCTCCACCCCCCATCTCCCAGAACCAGAAGAGGGCTGAAATGGGCAGAGCAGCGTCAGGCTTCATGCAGGCGCAGTCTCTGATTCCTTGGGGAAAGCTCTGGAGAGGAGGGGATCTAGATGGCTGTGAGGAAGCAAGGACTGTCAGTCTCAGCAACTGATTTCATGGAGGAAGACCACCAGTGCTTATTAGGCCTGATCCTCAGCCAAGTCTGTGGAAATTGTGTTTTTGCTAATAAGGAGTAAACTCCAACTTTGAATCGTGTGATTACTGCTTCTATGTCAGTGGATGAGGGTGTGGGGAGGACAGGACCCACAACTCCCAAAGCCCCCATTTTAACCTTTTACTGTTCTGGATGAGTTCTCAAAAGCTTATTGCAGAATTTGCCTCATACCAAGTCAGACCATTTAACTCAGTATTCCCTATGCTGACTGGCAGAAACACTCCTGAATTTCAGACATGAAGTCTTTCCTGGAGGTGCCAGGGATTGAACCTGGGACCTTCTGCATGCAAAGCAGATGTTCTACGACTGAGCCACAGCCTTTGCCCAGGTGATGCCTGCTGAATGGGCTTTAGTTAATCAGAGGGTAGATTTCATCTGAACACGAGAAGAAACTTCTTAAGGGTAAACACTGTTCAGCAATGGAAAGGCATGGTGGGGTCCCCTTGCAGAGGCTGGACAGTCATCTGTTGGGAATGTCCTGGCTGTGGCTTTCTTGTACTGAGTAGGAGCTGGGCTGGATTGGGGTAGCCAACATAGAGCTCTCTCCAGATGTTGTTGGACTCCAGCTCTCATCAGCTCCCACAGGAATGGTTAATGGCCAGGGATGGTGGCAGCTGTGGTCCAGCAACTTTTGGAGAACATCGGGTGGCTACCTCCATTTTCAATGATGTATTCACAATTGCAGGCATCGCTTAGGAGAAGATGGGCTCTTTCCTTTTCTCTTGTGCAGGTGGGAATAGTAGAGATGGCACTGGTATTAAAAATGATGCATTAAAAATAGTTGTGCATATATATATAATGAAAAACACTGCCTGATTAATTGGAGATGCCTTTTCCATTTTTCGGGGATTCATCTAACCAAGTAAATGACTGAGCGTTGCAGCCCCGGATCGTGCGGCATTCTTTGCATTCAGAAGGTCCCAGGTGCCAGATCTTGGCATCTCCAGTTCAAAATGGTTTCAGGGAGCGAGGCTGGCAGGAAGGCTGCCACAGATCTTTCTGCTGTGCAGCAGAGCACATGCTTGCATTGTGTAAATTGCCACGGCTGCTGATAAGAGCAATGGAAAAAGTAGCCTGCACTGCGATTTTGGTTGCCGTTTTGTAGTACAGTGGTTGCAAACAAGAACTATTTCGGAGGCCCGTTCGCAACATGAAAAGAGCGCAACCTACAGCGGCACGTCTGTGCATGCGTGGATTGCGATTCGCTGCTTCTGCACATGCGCACGACGTCATTTTGTGCTTCTGCGCATGTGCGAGCGGCGAAACCCAGAAGTAACCCCTTCCAGTATTTCCGGGTTGCTGTGGGACATAACCTGAAAGAACATAACATGTGGTATGACTGTACTGCCACTTCTTTTCCTACCTTTGCTTTACAGAGTCAACTCAGAGCTGGATACAAACGAAACTCTGAAGATTGTCGAAATTGACAGAAGAGTTAATGCTACATCTTGAGATGAAAATAAAAAAGGGGATTCCCTCCCACCCTTTCTCTTTCTTCCAACCAAAGGTCTGAGGAACTTGTCTCTGTCAGTAAATCCAGAGGCCATGAGGAAAGTGCCCGGCTGATTTTCTGCACTGGATTGGGAAGAAGTGGCTTTGTTCTCTGTAGTCCATGTTCTTTTCTCCCCTCCTCTCCCCCCCCCGCCTCTGACTCACACTACTCAGTTTGCCTTTCTGCTTCTACAACCAAGGGGAAGAATGGAAGGAGAGCTTGTTGGAAGATGTTGGGAGTAGGCATGCCTCTGAGTGGAGGTGCAGAAGGGGTAACTTAAGCAGTCCTCACCATCACCGCAAAAATGACTAGATGCCTTCTTTCGGGTCTCTTAAAGGGTAACAAAATGTGCAAAAGTGGTTATAGAGGGTTTTCTGAATTCATCCAAGATCAGCCTCCCCTGATTAGGTGACTCTTAACACCATCATTTTATTCCTTTATGAGAGCCAGTGTGGTGTAGTGATTAAGAGCGGTGGACTCGTAATCTGGTGAACTGGGTTCGCATCCCAGCTCCTCCACATGCAGCTGCTGGGTGACCTTGGGCCAGTCACACTTCTCTGAAGTTTCTCAGCCCCACTCACCTCACAGAGTGTTTGTTGTGGGGGAGGAAGGGAAAGGAGAATGTTAGGCGCTTTGAGACTCCTTTGGGTAGTGATAAAGCGGGATATCAAATCCAAACTCTTCAAATCCTTTTTACAGGGAAATGTCACCATGGGGTGGCAAACATGTCTCTTACACTTCCCTGATAATTTGTCCTGGACCATTTCTGCTTCCCCTGCCCCCGTTGTGCAATAGAAATGCAACCACAAGGAAGGCACTTCCTTTTGATTTTTTACCTTAGTGGTGAAAATGGGCAGGAATTGATAGGTTAACAGAGGTCTGACAAAAATTTATGATGCTTGTTCTCGAAAACTTCCAATTGTGTTCGTCACTGAGAACTAAGCTATATGTGAGGAATAGGATCTTTTCCCCCAATGCAAGCTCTAAGTGTGGGATCCCTCATGCAACATTGGTGCATGTGCTAGGTTGAGTCTTCTACCCTAACCAGTTGCAGTTCTATATTCTCTTATCTAGGAGCGAGCTTCATTAAACTCAGTGGAACTTACTTGTGTGTAGACATCTATAGGATCGCACTGTCTCAAATCTTGTAGCCAGCATTGCCTTAAATCTTTTTCCTCCCTCCACGAGGACTACAAACTTGTCCCTTCCTATAAAATGAGGGCAAAATTGATAGGAATCGGTCAGATCCACATGTTTCCATGTCTTGTAGCCTGGTCATGCAATAACTCATTTTCTTGATGTTACCTTATTAACCAAAGACACTCATGTTCAGTAGCAAAAGCTACATTGCCTTCATTTCCCCTTACAGCATTTTCCATTCCCGTCTATGGGCGTGTACCAATTGTATGCTGGAAATACAAAGCAGTCACTGATTCCTTTGCTGCATCTGTCTTCATGAAGAAAACAGACAAAATTCGGTTAGTCTCTTTCTTGTCTGGTCTGCATGAGAACATGGAGCCAGCCTGAACCAAATCTGCTTGGAGAAACCAATTTGTACCAGTTTCTCATACAGGCGAGAGGTCCCCAGGCGACTCGGATTCCTCTGCCATCCCTGCCCCCCTGTTGTAAATAGTATTTATTAGTTGCCCCATGATATCAGCTGGCAGCCGGAATGACAAGCAAAGGACGTGAAATCCCTCAAATGCTCTGGGTGACTTTTGAAAAAAATTCTATAACTTGTGTTAGGCCCCTGACATTCAACTTAAAAATTGATGCAGTGCAATGGCCTCATCCACTACCCTGGCCTCTTTGCATCCTATTGCATTTTCTGTTCCATTGTGCATGCACTCACTTAAAGCAGACGTTGTGATGAAAACCAGGAAAGGTTTAAATCTCATGTTCTACTTGTTCCCCGCTATGGCAAGCTAAAATGACCGCAACGTCCTCTCCTGAGTGCCAGGGGCCGATTCTGTCTCCGGAAAATTCAGTAAACATCTGCCACCCACTTGTGATGAGGATTGTTGGCTACATTTGTGTGTCACTTTCCAGACCAGTCACCATCTTAAATTAATATTGGAAGGAGTTGCATAGATGGATATCTTAACAGTGCAAAAGGTGTGCAGAACCTTTGGCTGCCAGATTTTGCAGAACTACAACTCCGCATCCTTGGCCATTGGCCATGCTTGCTGGGGCAGTTGGAAGCAACAGCCCTACACCTGCTGTAGAACAGTGGTTCCCCCACCCGCCAAGGGCCTCTGCTAAAATTTTAGCTGCCTGTTTGGGTAATTGAATATGATGCCCTTGGCTGCTGTCCTGCATGGTTTCTCAAGAACAGCTATACATGCAAATGTTAAGCAGTGGTTATTTCACACTGTGTATTGAACTCCATGACATCATCTGTCATTGACCCCACATACTTGTAGCAATTATACTTTTTTTTTTTTTTAAAGAAAGCTGATGGGTGGGCTTATAAAAGAAAGGGGCATTATTGTAAACTCTATATTTATGGAAGTCACGCTTCGGTCAGTGACGCTTCTTAATATTGCATAATCATTGACTAGGATGTAGATGGTGTGTTTTATTTGTGTATATGCTTCGATTCTGCGCTAGCTTTCCCTTTATATCTTCTATTTTTACCGTGCAATTTAATGTTGAAGCAAATGCTTCCGAGCCAGATTTCAGCTGATGCAAATTGTTGGTTTTCCATTTTACTCCAAACTGAAGATGTGCTCCCCACCCCCTTCTTTATTATTCTTCAGCTATTCTTAGCAACATCGTCCAATTCTTGATGATAAATCTGGGTTAAATGTCAGATTTTTAAATGCCTAAGTTCCCCTTTTAGGAATTATTCCATCCGTGGGGTTTTCTTTTCTTATCTTTTTGTTTGAACCTTCAATTTTGAGGAGTGCATGCTGTCTAGACGCTGTTTGGCTGTCAGTCAAGTGAGTGAGTAACATTAATTTGCCACATCAGGAAGGATATCCACGAAGAACTTGGGATCTCTCATGTCACAAGTCCATTGTGCAAACTCCCACCACTGCACACACAGCGTAAGACTCTGTATATTTAGCATCCTTTTCCCCACTCGGTGACAAAAATAATTCTCCTCTAATTGCTAATTGGAAAGAGGCCATTTTCCCCCTTGTATTTTTGAAGGTGAAACAGTAGGCCACTGCTATAGTGACTAAAGGGGGGGGGGATTGTTTTTCAAAAGTTACAAAACATAGGAAGCTGCCTTATATGGAGTCAGACAATTGGTCCAATTAGCTCAGTATTGCCTTCACTGACAGGCAATGACTCTCCAGGATTTTGGGCAGGAGATAGTCCCAACTCTACCTGGAGATGCCAAGGATTGAACCTCAGACCTGCTTGCAGACCAGATGCTGTACCACTGAGATGCAGCCCTTCCTTAAGTTCATATTTACTTACTAATGGAGTTCTTCTGGATGTCTTTGCAAGCAGGAGTTCAAAGCCAGGGCTTCTGGATCCAAATCTGATTTCTTGCGAAATGAAAAAAAGAAAAGAGAAATCCACCAGAAACAAGGTCCTGTGAAATTTGTGTTGAACGTCTTTTAAAATAAATGTAACTTAAATTAAAAACCAGCAATTTATCTTAAATTATTTCAACATGTTGACAGTTTTCACCATCTACTTAGATTTCTTCTTTCCTAATAGTCCTCAAGACAACAATAATCTTATGCCATCATAAAGAATGTGGCTTAGTAGTTAACTAAGCCTTACTCAGAGTAGACACATTGAAATGAATGGACTTAACTTAGTCATGTTCGTTATTTTCAACAGGCCTATTCTGAGTAAAACTTAGTTGACTACCACCTTAACAAATGTATTATGGTATGTAGAGAGGAAAACTAAACAGTGAGGTCCAAGGGGAATAAAATGAAAGTGCAGACTGTAATAATTCAATTAAGGCTTAAGTGCCTATAGAATTAGCACAGTGACCATGCGCTACAGCAGCACAATCACCCTTCCATTGCTAATTATTCCACCTGATGGAACACCAGCACTCTAGTCCTATATTGAAAAGTAACAAAATCATCTATTTAGGAACGTAAGTCACAATTTACATCCTGGATCACATAAGTGATACAAGTGTACAATTTGTTCCCTTTGATATTTTTCTGTGCAAAATTTACAGATTCTACTTGCATGTTTTAGTTGCTGTTTTGGCAAAATGGGGATCTCTGATGCAGAGCTTTGCAGCTGGCTAGAAATATTCAAATGACCACACTAGAATTCACAGGTTTAGATGTTCAAGTACAGTTTGCCACACAAGCACCCAGTCTTCTCTCTTGAGAATGGTTCAATGTGGTGATATAGGAGAGGTGATCATCTACTCTAGAAGTGTGCCTGTGTGGTCCTATAAATGTCATTGGACTCCCATCACCCACCGCCAACATCATCAGAGGTGATTGGATATGCAGTTGAGCATCTTCTGGAGGGGTCACAGGGTCTACACACAAAATGGTTCACCTGTAAACTGGAAAACCTATGGGTACCATTCCCATCTGGTTTTCAAGAAATACCTGAGTTTGAGAATGTAAGCATTGTTCACATTAACTAGTTCTCTGAGGAAATGCTGAAAACTTGCACAGGACCCTGGGGAGGCAACTTTTAGATGTACCCAGGACCTCTGGGGAACCACTTATCTATGAAGAGAATCCCGTAAGACTGAGGGCTGGATCTGAGCAACCCAACCACGTGGACAGGAGAGATCCAGTGGGACGATTCACACTATCTACCTGCAGCTTCTAGCCAAAATAGATAGTTCCATCCTGCAATTAGATATGTCTAAAAGGTATGGCCATTGCAGAAAATGCTGAAGCACATTTTCAGGGTGCACACTTAGTTGACTTGGAGTGTTGACCAAAACTGATGGGCTTCAATATAACCATGAATTTGGTGTGACCCACCTGTATGCTGTTCTACGATACTAGATTTTAGGAGAAGATCAGCGTGTGGGACAGGAAGGTGCCTCATACCAGCTAAGTCTATATGTCTCTCTGGCTCAATTTTGTGTTCACCATTCTGGTGCTCTCCTGATGTTTCAGGCAGTTGTATGTGACTTCTTGGACACAGCACAATCATCTCCTCGCAGTGTCTTGGTTCACCACCCTAAACCACCTTGATCACTGAGGAACCAGTGCTAAGTTTCTGGCAGAACCTCAGTTTTCCCAAGAGGGAAGGCACTTTAAAATCCACCCTACTAAGGCAGATGTTCTTAAAAAGAAAAGCTTGTCTCACTGGTCCTTCTTCCAGCCCCCTTCAAACAGGTGCCCTCCCAGTGCTGTTGGATTATCACTCACATCATCCCTATTGGCTAAGCTAAACGGGGCTGCGGCAATTGCCTCTAGAGGGCACAAGGTTGAGGAAACCAGCCTTAATTCATAACTTTCTTCCCCTTTCTCTGGTTTAATGGCTTGCTCCACCATTGTGTTTCCAATTTTTGTAGGTATCAATATAAGAGAATAAGGAGGCAATAAAGGAATTAGCAGGGAACAGAGCGAATGTGCATCTCTCTTTTAAGTTTTATTTACACACACCTGAACTTTATGTTGTAGGATTTTGGTACAGAGGTGAGTTTTTGAGCACTCATCTGTGATGTTGTATAGGCATGTTGGCAGAGCTGTCTGGTCATAACTGGTGAGGACTATTTCTGGTTCTATAGTACTCATGCACCACACAGGCATATTTGGTTTGATTCAATCAAATGATGATATATCTTAATTTTGTAGCATTAGCCATGATGGGGACGTTCTTGTCTGTTATGTATGTAGAAACATGTGCTACTTATTTGATGTCTAATCCCCAAGAACATTGGTGATCTATCTTCAGCAGTGTGTATCTTGATTTTCAGACTTGTAACATTCAAGCAGCATTTCCACCCTTTATCTTGGGTGTCATTCGTGTTGCCCTGTATTCCAGTTCCAAATGCCTTTTCAGGGCTGTAACTTAGATGGCCTAGCACACAGACTGTTACATTTCAGTTTTTGTGATGTGCTGAGCAGCAGGCCCTATTCTAAACTGCTAGAGGAGGTTCTGGTGAGAATAGGATTATGGGTGCGATGGGTTTCTCCATGGATTTCTGTTCAAAATTTGGATTCCCAGTGCATTGCACCAGTGCCCAAAAACTGCTAGCAAACTCAGTGGAATCTGGAAGTTTTCAAAGAACCTAGGCGCTGTGGCTGGGGGAGAGAAGGAGGTGCAGTCCTTGAGCTAGCCCCAAGCATCTGCCCCATAGGGTGGATTTCTCCTCTGAACTTCAAAGAGTCTGTCTTCATACATCTCTAGATTGAAAACCTGGAGGTGGTTTATTAAAGGAGCACGACCAATCATGGCAGATGATCTTGAACGGGGCTTCCACCAAAGAAGATACCACTTACCTCACATTGCACCATAAATCTAAATACATTCAGCCAGATTTAGTGCGCATGGAAACTCAAATTTACACATGCAGATCTCATCCAAGCAAGGCATTTCTCATTGGCTTAAATACCAGAATGTGTTACGAGACGATATAGCTTAGATTTATTGCCTAACATAAAAGTTGCTGTTCTGTAAGTTCCATGCATTCGGTTCCACAAAATGCAGTGGGTCAAGGCATATATTCACTGGGTGCAGGACTGCAACCACTCTATGTAGCCATAGAGGAGCCGCTACTGTTACACTAGGCCATCTAAGTCAGCCTCCTTCTGCCCAAATTTCTAGTACTCGTTCAGCTATGTGAATAGGCAAATATAGTTTTTTTTGCTAGTCTGCATTTAAATGGAATTGTCTTTATAAAATATGGGAATTTAGGAAAAAGCATGAGAAGAGTTCAGAAAGTTTGGGTAAATTACAATAATATCCCCCCTTTTTTTTACTTAAAACTGTTAATGTTCTTTGTTGTGTTGTTTTTACTATGTTAAATGCCTTTTCTTTTTGTATTTATACTTTTTCTACATGCACTGCTCTTTTAGGTGTGTCCACATGTGATCATTCATATTTCAAACAGGTGGGAGGGTGGGTGGGTTGGGTAAGAGTTTTTGTGTGTGTAAAGAACCTTTTATTTAGCAGATAGGTTTTAAACCAAGCAGCAAACTAAGTGCTTTTTTTTTTTTTAAGTAGCTGAGTACAGTGAAAATATGTATTGCTTTATCTGTTTCCTGGCAAATAAATATTTTCCTAAAGAAAAGGCATCTCCCATCATTCTGCTGTTTATTTTCCTCCAAATGTATTTACAGCAGTCACCTGCTTTAACCCAAACACCATGCTTCAGTGCTTGGAGTACTTCTAGCTTCCTTTTCATGCTGACAGTCTATTGTCCAGTGTTACCTCCAATTGGTAAGAGATCAAAAGCAGTAATGTGTCTCACAGTCATGGACTTGCCTTTTGCTTCATAGAAAACACTGAACTAATCATTGTGTTTTGTTTACAAGATTTGTGGGGTATTGGGAGAGCTTGTAAAGCTGAAAAATGACTGCAGTTCAGCCAATACTCAGTGTTGCATGCATTTATTTCAGGTATATTTGAGGGCCACCTTTGACCAGTGATTATCCGCCCCCTTGCAGATAGATGTCCATCAGGCCTAGGGCAGATCTAACAAAATGCCAATCCATCTGTGTCTAAAATCTTTGCATCAAGTGATGACTCTTTAAAACTGCATGTTTTGTTTTGCACTAAAAGCAGGCAGGGGGTGGGGTGAAAATTAAAGGAGATTAATGCATAAATAAATGCTGCGTGAGAGAGGATTTAGGCCAGCATGGATGCTCTGACCTACCTCTCCCGAATATATTTTTATTGACTGGGGGGGGGGGCAAGAGAGAAGGCAAATTTAGCAAATAGTGCAGGTTATATGCTAGATTAATAACGTAGTTTTATTTTAAAAAATGAATTTATTGCAGGAAGGATTGTGTTTCTTAGAGCATTGATTTGCTTAAGTTTATTAAAACTTAGAACTTTTTTTTTAAAAAAATCCAAGAATATTAAAGCCAGCAAAACAAAAATGCAAACATTTTGCTATATAAAAACTTGTGCTTTTTCTCTTTTTGTTTATTTTCTTACCAGTAGCAGAGGCCTAGGTACCTCAAGTACATTTGGAGTACTACTGTATACATGTTTATTAGCAGTCCAACACAGCTGTGGTTAAGAGTGCCTTTTACCAGCTTTGGCTGGTATGCCCACTGCAGCCATATATAGATCGGGATCTCTTGGCCACTGTAGTCTAGGCATTGGTAACCTCAAGACTAGACTACTGCAATGCCCTTGTATCTGGGACCATGTTTGGACATAGTCTGGAAACTTCAGCTGGAGCAGAATGCAGCAGCTAGAGTTCTGATGGCTAAAGGCATGTGACACTTTAACATATGTTACCAAGTCAAGGTTCTTGTCATAATACACAATCTCAATTTGATCACTGAAATCACCTGCTCATTATCTTAGAAGCTTGACTGGTCTCTCTCTCTCTCTCTCATAATTTTTATTGCAAAGTAAATACATCAATACCAAAGAATAATATAAAGAAAGAAAAAATAGAGAAGAAAACAATGCAAAGAAAAGTAGACAGTAAAAGAATAAAGAAAATATATTTTAATACAATAAACACTATTTTACAAAATAATAGTAATAATAGACTTCCAACACTCTCACAACACTTCCTTTCACATTTCATATTTTATCTGTATTTCAGTATTATTTTCATCTTAATATGTATGTTTCCCCTTTTCCATTCACGAGGAAATTCTAGACAGCCAAATTTTTACATTAGAACCTTGTCTTTCTAAATAGTCATTCAAGCACTTCTGTTCCTTCTTGACTGTATTCATTGGCTTTAGTCTTCTTATATCCATCAATTTGGCCAGTTCCAAATATTCACATAACCATTCCTCTTTGGTCTCTACTAAAAATTGAGCATTTAAATTAATAACCAGTTCCAAATCATCATCAATAATTTCCTTCAAAACCTTACTCATAAAATCCTTTTGGTTCTAATGCAATAAATAACCAGTTGTTTCCCTGATCAGATCTTGCAGAAAAATTGAATTATGGGGTAATTCCAAAATATATGCTAAATTGTTCACAATCTGTAGAGTCCATGCAAGACACCATGCAGATTCTAGTGTAATTTAGTCTCCATCCTATCTATTTTCTCACTTGGCTAAAACAAAAGATGACTTAGAGCTCTGACAGGAGGTTACACTATAAGGACTTCAAGTTCCCTTCCATTACCAATCATTCTGTGTGGATCCATTACCATCATTCTATGTGGATTGTATTGGTGGCTGGTTGAGTGCTTGTAATGTGGAATAGTGTTGTTGTTTTTTAGTCATTTAGTCGTGTCCGACTCTTCATGACTCCATGGACCAGAGCACGCCAGGCACTTCTGTCTTCCACTGCCTCCTGCAGTTTGGCCAAACTCATGCTGGTAGCTTCGAGAACACTATCCAACCATCCTCTGTCGTCCCCTTCTCCTTGTGCCCTCCATCTCTCCCAACATCAGGGTCTTTTCTAGGGAGTCTTCTTTTCTCAAGAGGTGGCCAAAGTATTGGAGCCAGCTTCACGATCTGTCCTTCCAGTGAGCACTCAGGGCTGATTTCCTTCAGAATGGATAGGTTTGATCTTCTTACAGTCCATGGGACTCTCAAGAGTCTCCTCCAGCAATAGTAGCTTCAGTTAAAAAGGGATTTAGGTCCACCACTCTGCCTCTGACAGCCATGCAGCCCCAAGGCAGGGGTGAAGCTGGAACTAGCCAGAGGGTGGGATACCAGATCTCATCAAGACTGCTTAAATAAATTTGCTTCTCATCATGCCTATGTGCATTAGTGCTACTGAGCTTTTGCTGAAAGGGATGGTTGCTCCCAGCAGGTACACATGAAGGTTCATTGACACTGCTATGGATTACACATACACACACACACACACACACACACACACACATTGGGGTTGTACTCAGTGGTGATTCTGCACTGGTGGAAAGAGTGAAGGGATATGGGTTTGCTAATAGGCTATCTTCCCGCCCCTGCCGGCCTCAAGCGAATCTAATGGCTTAAGTAAGCTCTTGTTCCAGCAGGAAAGTTGCTTCTGGGCTTAATAACGCGTGATGGTTTCACCCGAAGCTGCCCCTTGCTGGAGGACGGCTGGCAACATATACTCCGCTGTCCAAAATCTTCAGCAAGCGCTTTCTCACGCTCTTTATTCCTGCTACCTAACGGGCTCTCAATACCCTTCACTCTCCACTGCGCTGATGCTTCCATTTTTCTCCCCCCGAGAAGGACTGCCCAGTAATAAAAATTAAAAAGCACTCCACCTCGTCCTAACACACTGGAGACGTCCACGCAACTTATGCCCCCTGCATCCCTCTAGTACAAACGCTTCTGGATGCGGCACAAAACGGGGCGTCCGCCTGTGGCCCCGCCCCCAACTCTCTCCCCCCCCCACCCCCATCCGGCACGCACACACAAAACAGAGGAGTCTGGCCAGGTTTTAAGGTGCAGCTGCTCCTGCTGTCCTTTTCGAGCGGGCGTGGCGGGAGGAGCAGCAGGAGGGGAGGAGGCTCTGATTGGCCAGAGCGGAGGCGGGAGGTAGGGAGTTTCCCACAATGCCCCGCTGCAGCCAGTGCGGCCGCCGATGGATGCTGCGGGAAGGTGCTGCCATTTGCAGCCGCCTGGACCAGTGGCTCGCTGAGGGGAGCCCCGTTCCGGCAGAAGCAGAGGCAGGCAGGGAGGGAAGCACCCTTCTCACCCCAGTCCCCGGCAGCCCTTGACAGCGAAACTACCCTCGCCTTCTCCTCCGCTTTCCTCGCGGGTCGCTGTCCATTCAGCACCGCGATGAACCCTCCTTCCACAACCGGCGAGGAGAAGGGGGCTGCGGGAGGCAGCAGCAACGCTTGCCGGGGAGCTGAAGGTGGCGGGGATCCTAGGAGTGCAGCCGCGGGAACAGAGGACCCAGAAGAGCCCGCACTAACCGCTCAGAAGGAAGAATCCTTGGAAGAGAAGCTGAAGAGTTTAACCTTCAGGAAACAGGTGTCCTACAGGTGGGTGAAGGAGGCAAAGCAGGAGTGTCATTCCGGGTGTGCTTTCTCCCACGTGAGAAGGGGCATACACGTGTGTCTGTGGCTGAGTCTCCTTGAGCCTCATAATGTACCCATCGTCAGAAGTTCCCTAGGACAGAGTGATAGGGGAAGTCTTGTCTAGCTCGCATCTTCCAAGTTTCCATTGTAATCTCTCAGGGAGATAGATACCTTATGTGCAAGTGAATTTAGTGTATACTTGTCATTACTTAATGTAGACGAGGTAATTGTCCTTAGCTCACTTTTACCCCCTGCCCCGCTGTTCCTTCGATCTGGGTGGTAGGTTTCACACCCAGTTTGGAAATTGTCATCTACCTGGCTGTGAACATGGGACCAGCGAGGGGCTATTTACTTCAGATGTGCTAATTCAGAGTTTTAACGGCATGATTTTATGCAGAGGGAAGCTTCAAGATGATAGATTTCAACCTTGCAATAAGTCAGGACCTACTGCTGTAACGTTCTTGTAGGAGAGGATAAAAAGCTTTGAGGATTCTGATGGTTGTTTTGGAGGGATGTGGTTTCATGAGGTTTTACCCCCCCCTTTCCCCCCTCCTCTGAAAGCTACATGGTATGTGGGCAGCCTTGCCTGGAGAGAGATAATCTTACGGTTGAAATCAGTGCACCAGGAATTCTGTGTCGCGCATAATGTGTGTTTCTGTGTCAGGTCAGTTTATGCACACACGGCAGCAAAACAGCTGCTGCCCCAAATGTTGCATTATTTTTTTCCAGAGCTGGGGGGCGGGGAGGCAACTGATGTATTTGTATTGGCACTTAGAGTGGTACCGCAAAGGACTTCACATTCCTACATGTAGACC